AGACTGAGACAGACTAGGAAGAAGGAAGAGGCCGTCCACTTCTGAAAGAATTGGCCAGGGAAAACCTTATGAATAGCAAAGAAACACTGTTTGGTTATATGTCTAGCCATTGGATTCTCACCAAAGAATCAGCACCCCACTTCCCCAAGGTGGAAAGTGAGGCTTACAACCAAGCATCTGGAAGGCCCCTCAGAGAGCCCAGCGGAGTTAGGCTGGGATTTGTCATACCAAGCCCTCCTCACCCCAGGCCATCTCTTCGGGGTGTGTGATCCTCGTGGGGGCCCCCTACTCTGCAGAGTGAGCACCTTTTGTGTGCCAGAGCCAAGGTCCCTGGGATCGTCACCCAATGACAGTCAAACCTGCCTGTGGCCAAGCCCCTTTTCCGGGTCACCCAGCCCCCTTGCCCACACAGGGCAGAATATCCCAGAGGGAAGACTCCCCCTCCCTCCATCGTAAAGATGCCTAAAGGCCGGCCCAGGGAAGTTCCTTCACTGGCCCAAGGTCAGCCAGCAGGGGTGGGGACCTAGTTCTGCACTGTGGAGGGTCGTCCTTCCTCTTCCTGTGCCCTAGGCTACCTCTCCGTGGAGCTTGTGCACCTGCGTTGCCTTTAACGCCACCCCCACCCCCCACCCCCGCCTCCCTCCTCCCCTTGCAGGCAGACGCCGGGATTTCGCTGCACGCAGAGACCTGCCCAGTCTTTCCTGGGCATTCGGGGAGTGCAGTCCGGGCGTGTGGGGGCCTCGGCAGGGGCGTGCAGACAGGGCAGGATGGTGAGTGGAGGGCCAGGGGACAGATAAAGAGCGGGTCTCAGTCTCTCCCTCTCCAAATTCTGTCTGTGCCTCTGGATCTAAGTCCCTCCGAGTTTCTTTCCCTGTGTCTGCCTCGCTCCGTCCCTTTCTCTTTCCTTTTCCCTCCTTTCCCTACCCCTCTATCCCTTTCTGTGTCACTCTCCCTCTCAGTATCTTGTGTCTCTTCCTCTTCTCCTTGTCTCTCTCCCTCTCGACCTCTCTCCGTTATCTCTGCCTCTCCCTGTCTTCTGAACTGTTCTCGCCCTCTCCTCCCTTCCGCGTATCTCGCTCTTTTCGTCTCTGTCCCCTCCCCCGTCGCCGGCCCCGTTTGCTGCAGTCTCCTGGCGCACGGATAACCTTGCCGCGGCTCCAACTCCTCCCTTCGCAGCCCCGGGCCAGGACCAGAGAGAGAGGGGACGGGGCTCCAAGTGACTGGGGTGGGGGAACCCCGGGGCAAGACTGCGAGAGGGGGAGGCCCGGCCCCAGGCCTAGGTGTCAGGGTACTGGGAGACCTGAGGGTCTGCAGCTTTCTCCTCCAAGGAGTCCTCCAAGACCCCGACTGGGTTGGGAAGCTAAGCGGTAACGGGGTCCCCGCTCTGGGGAAGGACGGCCAGAGCGCCTAGTCCAGGCAAAGGCTGGGAGTTTCGACAGAGTCATAGTGGGCCGACCTGTGCATCCCTGTCTCCCAGGTGTGTGCCCGAGTGGCCCTTGGACCGGGCAAGCTCTGGGCTGCTGCCTGGGGGCTCCTGCTACTCGCAGGCGCCACGGAGGCGCAACGTGGCCGGAAGAAGGTCGTGCACGTGCTCGGTGAGTCAGGGCCGCGGGATGGGGTCTTGTCTCACAGGGGCTGTGACCTGGACCCCCCCAAAACTGTGGCCTAGAGTGAGCGCCCCGTGTGCTGTGGAGGTGGGGCGTCACTGCTGGTGACAGTTCCTCCTCCCTTCCCAGTTCTGCACCGCCGCCCCTCCCAGCCCCTTTATCCTTCAGGTCCCCTACGTGCCATCCCTAAGTCCCCTCTCCTGCCCCACCACCACCACCACCCCCGTCCCACTCCACTGATCACGGCTCTGGTCGCCTGCAGAGGGCGAGTCAGGCTCCGTGGTTGTGCAGACTGCACCGGGGCAGGTGGTCAGCCACCGAGGCGGCACCATCGTCCTGCCCTGCCGCTACCACTATGAGGCGACCACCCACGGCCACGACGACGTCCGCCTGAAGTGGACTAAAGTAGTGGACCCGCTAGCCTTCGTGGATGTCTTCGTGGCGCTGGGTCCCCAGCACCGAGCCTTTGGCAGCTACCGCGGGCGGGCCGAGCTGCAGGGCGACGGGCCTGGGGACGCCTCGCTGGTGCTCCGAAACGTGACGCTGCAGGACTATGGGCGCTATGAGTGCGAGGTTACCAATGAGCTGGAGGATGACACCGGCATGGTCAAGCTGGACTTGGAAGGTGACCAGTCTAAGGGGAGGGGCATGGAGGGGAACTGAAAAGCGACAAACCACAGCAGCTGGTTTGAAAGAATTTAGAGGCTTCATGGAGTAGGGCACTAATTCTTGACCAGGGTGACTTTGCTCCCTAGGGGACACCGGCAATGTCTGGAGATGTTTTCAGTTGTTATATGGTGTGTGGGGGGGTGTCTTTGCTACTTGCATCTAGTGAGCCAGGAATGCTGCCAAACATCCTACAATACACAGAACAGTCCCCCACAGCAAAGACTTATCTAATCCAACAGGTCAGTAGTATTAAGGGTGAGAAACCCTTTCAGGACAATGAGATCCAAAGAGTCACACCATGTCTGGATTCCTGGGCGGGCTTCCCCTTCTGGCAGATATCTCCTTATGCAACCAAAAACTAATGCCAGACCTCCTTGCTCCCAGCTTAGCACTTTCCTAAAAAGCTTCAACTAGAGTCCCAGAGTTCTCTCTCATTGGCCCATCTTGAATCACGTGCCCACATCTGAGCCAATCACTGTAGCTGAGAAATAGGATGCTTTGATTGGCTGACCGTGAAGCTGGTAGGTATGCCTTCTATCTGAAGAATTCCCTCCCATCACATTTGCCTTAAAAGATTCCAGGATAGAGTTTAACTTTATTACAGTAGTAAACCAGTAGCAGCAACCAGTAGCTGCAGCAACCCATTAAAACCCACTGCCATCAAGTAGATTCTGACTCATAGCCAATACTACAGAGCTGCCCCATAGGGTTTCCAAGGCTGTAAATCTTTACAGAAGCAGACTTCTTCATCTTTCTCCTATAGAGTGGCTGGTGAGTTTCAACAGCTGCCCTTTTGGTTAGCAACAGACTGCTTTAACCGCTGTGCCAGCCAGAGCTCCATGCAGCAACAGCAGCTCTCCTTTAATGGGTGTTTTTTGTGTACTAGGTGCATGATTAAAGAGTTCTCTGAATTTTCTCACTTAATATTTCCAAAAACTGAGAGAGAACTGTTACCTGTAGATGGAGAACTGGCTCTGAGAGGTTCGAGCTTTCACAGCCCACATGCCTGTGAGTGGCAGAACTGGGATTTGAACCCAGGTTTGTCAGGCTCCAGGTCTTCCTTGCCCTGGTCTGCTGAGAATACCCAGCTCACCACCAAATCCTGCCCCTCAAACACAGCCAGCCAGAATTTTGGTGAACTGAGTTGACTGTGAGTCTGATAAGGGTCACTGTTCCAGGGTCAAAAGATGGAAAGGTGAAAGGGAAATCAATGAGTATAGCCTCCAGTGATTCTGGGGATCAAATGAGTTTTCACCCAGGGTCAGCCTTACAGAGGCCCCCAGTCTGGAATAGTCAGCACTGGGCACAGATACTCCAACTCTGAGAGATCAATGCTGAACCTGAGGGAAGGACCCAGTGCTGGGGGAACACAGAGAAAAACATATAGAAGTGAATGGGGAAGGGTTGTGGGGTCTGGGTTTTGAAGGATGAGTAGGAGTTCAATAGATGAGCCAGGTAGAGAGAACATAAGCAAAGGTCTCTGATGGTGGAAAAGGGGTGAACATGATTAAGAGTGTTAAGGAGAAGGGTTACGAGAATCGCGGACTTAAAGCTAAGAAGAGCCAAGGAGCATGTGAGTTGGGTAAATGCACAGTCAGGTCTGAGACCACACCAGGAGAAGACTCATCCTGCTTCTTTGTGCCTCGGTCTTCTCCACTGAGGAGAGTACTGGAGGACTGGGAATGCTGGCTTACCCCTTTACGCCCCCTAGGCGTGGTCTTCCCTTACCACCCCCGTGGGGGCCGCTACAAACTGACCTTCGCTGAGGCGCAGCGCGCGTGCGCAGAACAGGACGGCATTCTGGCATCGGCTGAGCAGCTGCACGCAGCCTGGCGCGACGGCCTGGACTGGTGCAACGCGGGCTGGCTCCGCGACGGTTCCGTGCAGTACCCGGTTAGCCATCCTCGGGAGCCTTGCGGCGGGGCTACGAGCCCCGGGGCCGGCGACGGTACCTCTGGGGGAGTGCGCAACTACGGCTACCGCCATAACGCGGAGGAGCGCTACGACGCCTTCTGTTTCACGTCCAACCTCCCGGGTGCGTAGGTCCCGCCCCCGCAAGTAGGCCCCGCCTTGGCATGCCCAGGCCCCGCCCTCGGCGCACGCCCTCTCCCGCCCACAGCAGTCCTGACCAGTTAAGTTGATCCAGGCCGAGACCTGGCTGTGAAACGCTGCCAGGCACTAAAACTGCCCTGTCCAAGGCCGGGTCTCAGCCTGCAGATGTGTAGGTCCTGAACTCCGAAACTGTGGTTCTGGGCTGCAAAGGGGGTCCTGGACTCTGAAGCGGAGATCCAGGGATGCAAATATGCGTGGGGGTCCCTGAGTCCCCAGGCCGGGATCCCATGCTGCCAAGGAGGTCCTGGATCCTGCCCCGGGATACCCGTTGCGACCTTGACCGCCTCTCCATTCCCCTCAGGGCGTGTGTTCTTCCTGAAGCCCCTGCGGCCTGTGCCCTTCGCGGGGGCGGCGGGCGCGTGCGCGGCACGCGGTGCGACTGTGGCCAAGGTGGGACAGCTGTTCGCCGCATGGAAACTGCAGCTGCTGGATCGCTGCACGGCGGGCTGGCTGGCCGACGGGAGCGCGCGCTACCCTATCGTGAACCCGCGCGCGCGCTGCGGGGGCCGCCGGCCTGGCGTACGCAGCCTGGGCTTCCCTGACGCCACTCGCCGCCTCTTTGGAGTCTACTGCTACCGCGCACCAGGCGCGCCGGACCCCGCGCCTGGTGGCTGGGGCTGGGGCTGGGCGGGTGGCGGCGGTTGGGCGGGAGGAGCACGAGACCCCGCTGCCTGGACCCCACTGCGCGTCTAGGCCCCACAGGTGGGGCAGCTGGGGCGCTTGGAGGCTGGCCAAGTGCCCTGGGTCACCTGGAGGCTTGCCATGCCACCTGCAGTTCTTGGAGACTGACCAGGCCCCTTGCAGTCCCTGGTGACCGAACATGTTGCTGAGGTCTCATGGAGACTATGCCCTGCTGCGGTCCCCTGGAGACTGACCGCACCCCTTGAGGTCCATCAGATTACCCCTCTATGCTGACTTTTCTCCATGAGAGACGGACTGCACCCCCTAAGGACCTCTGGAGACCTACAGAAAAACCATGTGGTCTTCTGAAGTCTGGCCATGCCTCCCGAGGTCACTTAAAAACAAACCCGCCCTGCAGTCACCTGGATGCTAGACCCCCTGGGACCATCTGGGCACTGGTCACCTATCCCCTTTCAGTCACCTGAACACTGGACTTCCCCCATCCAGGTCACCTGGAGAGAAAATGAGAACCTCAGGGTTCCCAGCTGGCCATGTCCCTGGTGGTCACCTGAAGACTAAGGACCCCTGATGGTCTCTCACCAACAGTGACCTGGAGACTGGGTCCTTATCTTCTCCACAAGTTTCCAAAGGATTTGGGGTAACAAGTCATGTCCCCAGGTTACTCTGGAGAACAGCCCCACTCCCTCCAGTTTCTGGGATACCTCCTTGGCTGTCTTGGTAAAGATGGATTGACACATCCCCAGCTGGTTCTGTGACCACCAGCCAAGTCCCTCCCCTCAGGTGTCTCCCAGCAAGGTGAGCGAAACAGCCCCACCTAGAGGTTGGCATCCCCTTCCCCGGCTGTCACCAAAGAGACCATCCACACCTTTGGGCCCATGGACCCATAAGATTCATGTCACTGTTGCTATGGAGACCAGCTAACCTGCTTCCCACTGTCACCAAGGCGACCAGCACAGCCTGTACCTGTCACCTAGACACACACCCTTTCTTGCAGTGGTCACATCCATGGAGATGGCACTGCCCTCCCCCAGCTGTAGCCATGGATACTATGTTTTTTCCATATCACCTACCCCCACCTTGAGACCTAAAGCTCCATTTCCCCCAGCTGCCCCCAAGGTGACCCAGCATTCCAGTTCCTCCCCCTCACTATGGAAACAGGATGCCCTTCCTCCAGGCCCAACCCCAGCATCTCACCAGGTTCCAAGTTCTGCCCCAGGTAACTTGGATCCCACAGCCATTGCCATGGATACCAAAGCTGGTGTGTGAGGTAATAGAATACCTGTCCCCCTAGGCTTTCTGTCAACAACAGGGCCCTGGCCCCATCAAGATGTTACCATGGAGACTGTCAACTGTCTTCCCCATGACAGCCACCCACCTGCTCTCAGGAACTTCTCATGGGGGGCCAGGTGTCAGGGGTGCCTCCCACTGGGGCTGCAGACCGCCGCCCCTCATCCAGGTGTCCCCCGGGTGTGCCCCTGCCCTTCGCAGACAGCGCTGGACTTGGGCTACTGGCCACCCTCCTTCTGCACGCTAACTACCTGCCAGACAGCAGCTGTGCACGAGACACCCGCCACTCTCAGCTCCTTGCAACACCCGCCAAATGGGCATCACCATGGTACAGATGAAGAAAACAGGCAGACCTGGCCCCCAGAGCTGTGTGAGCAGGAGCCTCCCTTTCCTCCCACTGAGCCCCTCTCCTTCCTTGTGTGAACCCCCTTCTCCCTCTTAGATATGTGGGGTGGGGTGTGGGATGTCCTTGAACCTGAAATTTTCCCCCAGCTCCAGAGTCTAAGGGGGGTGATCTGTGGTAGGAGGCCAGGACCCAGCAGTACTCCTGATGCTGAGAGCCAGCTTTGGGGAGATGTCTGGAGAGACCATCCAACCATGGGGAAACCAGTTCTGAGGTCTCACCAGGAGTCAGCTGGGATCCTTTTGGAAGCCATTCTTACTGTCACACCCATGTCTGGGAAATCACCTAGGTTTTAGAACCAGGTAGACTTGGGTTCACTTTCTCCTCTTGCTCGCTCTGTGACCAAGTGACAAAGCCTCTGAGCTTGTTTCTTCTTCTGCACCGTGGCTCCAACCAGAGCTGTTCTGAGGTCCTGTGAGTGCAATGAATATAGCAGAGGCTCAATAAATCTTTGTTTCTTTTGATGAATGAGAAAACGGGGCTGCCGGTGGGTAATTACCTAATAAATGCACTTTGGTGGACAAAATGCCTCCCAGGAATGCTTGGTGATGATAGGGCTACTGAGCCTGTCTCTTCATTCCTGAATCCCCTTCACCTTCCTCATTTCTCTGTCCTCTCCCCTCCCCCATCCTGCCTTTATTCTCTACCTTGAGACCCCACCCCACCCCTGAGGTGAGCCCTTTCTCAGCCCTGCGGGGTATTGTGCCCTTCAACACCCAACGTTTTGGCATTTAAGGCATCAGGTAGTGGGAAAGGCATTGGTGGTTCAGCAGTAGAATTCTTACCTTCCATGCAGGAGACACAGGTTCGCCACCACCCATCAGTGGAAGCTTATCTGTTCCTGTGATGCTGAGCTGAACAGGCTTCAGCAGAGCTTCGAGACTAAGATGGACTAGAAAGAAAGACCTGGTGATTGACTTACAGTAAGGCTGTGAATTCTTCCTGGAGTTGAGAAAAAGTGTGGGCAGAGGAGCATTGGAAAGTTTCTGGGATATAAAATGAGAGAACAAGATCTAACAGCTCAATTTGGTTGTAGAAGTGAGATGATCATGTAACTCCTCCTCCTCCAATACTGCACAGGACAGAACTTCTAGAAACTTGGACCCGCCTCTGAAGTGGACAGGGCCCAGCCCCTGTGTTAGGCTGCCAGGGCTCCAGCTGGGCCTCTGCTTCCTCAAATAGGGAATGGTAAGGGATGGGTGATGGGTTGAATTGTGTCCCCCCCCAAAAAAAAGGTATGTTGAAGTCCTAACCCTAGTACTGGTGAATGGGACCTTGTTGGAAAATAGGGTCTTTGCAGATGGTATCAGTTAATAGGAGGTCATACTGGAGTAGGGTTGGTTCTAATCCACTATGAGTGGTATCCTTATAAAAACAGAAGAGACAGGGAGGAGATGACCATGTGACAACAGAAGCATGATTGCTGGAGCCACCAGAAGCTGGGAGAGAAGCATGGAACAGATGCTTGAAAGCCTCCAGGGGGAATCACATGGCTGACACCCCGATTTCAGGTCTCAGTATCCAAAACAGTGAGACAGTACATGTCTATCCTTATAAGCCACCCAGTTCCTTATTGTGACTTGTATGATCAAAGATATGCTCTTTATATATTACAGCAACTAATCCTTTACCTCTGATTTGAACAACTGTTACCAAGTTTGGCGATTACCTTTTGACCATGCTGATTTTTTTTTTTTGCCAGTGTTGCTTTTAGAATAGAGCCTGAACTCTTCACTGTGGCCCATGTGGCCTAAGTGGTCCATCACCTGCTTCTCTCACCTCCCCTCCCTCCCCTCTATGCTTCTGTCACTCAGCTCCAACCAGGATGGGCTCCTTGCTGTTTCTCAAAAGAGCCACCATGCTCCTTTCCACCTTTGCTCTTCTCTCTGCCAGAAACTCTTCCTTTCCTCCCCTCCTCCTTTAGATCCCACCCACCATCACCTACTTTAGACAGCCTTTCCTGACCACCCCTAGGGCCACAAGCATCCTGTTCACCACTATAGCCTCAGCACCCAGCATGATTCATGGCTCACAGTAGCTGCTCATTAAATCCTCGCTGAATGAATGAATGGAGGTGTCTGGAGATGACAGGCAGGTTGAACTGTTAAAAAATTTTATTAAAATGTTTAAGAAGTACATTAATATCCACAGTGTCAGATACCACAGACCCACGGAACACTGCAGCTCACAGCAAAACCAGCAGAACCCAAGGCTATGCACGCACACACACACTCACACGCATGCCACACACGTGGCACACGCAAACACACACACCCCAAAGTGAAAGATCAAAAGATGAACCACCCACTTTAAAAAAGACCAGAGCACCCTCCTATCATGGAGTGGGGTGGAGGCAGAGCAAGGAGTGCAGGGGGACAAAGACAGGGAGCATAAACCCAGCCCCCACCCCAAAAATTGCATCCCGAGCCCTCCCCAACAAAGGAAAATTCTTTTGTGACATGTATGATCAAAGATGTGCTGTTACTGCTATTGTTATTATTACATATTTTTAAAAAACCAAGAAGCATTATCAAAGTAAGACAACAAAACCTAAATCCCTGGCATTTCTCAACAATAACCATATGGTGGATAACATCTATAGCAGGGAAGACTGAACACCTTGGTCAATATGGGGGTTCAGGCTGCGCTTCTCAATCATTTCCTCAGTCTGCCAGTGGGTGTGAGATAATGTTCCAATCCCTTCCCTGATGTAGAGAGTGGTGTTTGGAGTCTGACAGAGGTCTCAGATTCCTCATGTGTAAAATGGAAAAATGATGGTCCCTAAGTCACTTGTCTGTTAAGATGACTGAAGGAGATAATGTGTTAAGTCTTTAGCAGGCACCAACTCATAATTGTTAACTAGGATTATTATTTCTCAGGAAGGATACAGGCTTAGTCAACACAGTTACTTCTTTACTGAGCCCTTAGTGGATCATGCATTGGCTTATTTTTCTTTCCTGCAAAAGGCCATTCTCCACTGTGGTTTCCAACACTAATGTAGATTTTACCTGGACTGAAAGTAGATAAAGGGCATGAAGGAAAAGCCTAAAACACATTAGGGAGCTGGATCCTGGCCTAAGGCTGGGGGAGGCCTTTGACTAGTTGCAGATTTGGGAAGGAAGGCAAGAGAAGTTCTTTCCTACTTAAAAAATAAAAATTTTGAGAGAAAAACATGTTTCAGTTGAACACTGCACATCTCTCTACAATATGACCACAGACAGGTGTTTCTACTTCAAGTTTTAAGTGTTTCTAGTCAGCCAGTTAAGGGCTGGTGATAAGGATGAGATGGAGGTGGGTGCTGGGCCCAGGACAGGGCGCCACTGCTGTCTGCTTGAGAGATGAGTATGGGGACTGGGCTAGAAGGCTTGGCACCTCCTTGGTCCAGGAAAGAGGTTCTTTGTCTCCCTGAGAGATCGAGGGGGAAGAAATCAGGGCACCTCAAGCCCCAAACATCCTCTCATCTGTGTGTTTGATTCACACATATGCAGAACCACCACATCTCGGCACTGGACTAGACCTGGGAGGGTGAGCAATATACTTTCCCTCCATTGCCTATATATTGCTCTGATTTTCTGACCCCTAATTCTGAGGGCACGGAAGGAGGTTGTCCTAAAAACATTCCTAAAATTCCGTACATGGGACTGCCACACTATGTTTATCCACCAAGACAAAAACCTGAACTTCAGCCGAAGTCCAGGGTGAAGGAAGAGGAGTTGGCAAGTTCGAGCAGTGTGCTTCTGTTTAGTCTTCTATTCCCAAAGCCAGTGACCTTAAATAAAGGCTGCAGCCTGGGATTGAGGACATCCAGTAGTTTACTGAGCCTGAATCCCTGGTGTGAAAAGCGATTCCTTCATATGGTTTCAAACATACTCTCCTGCACCCTCATCAAAGCCTATTTCAATAATGGGCAATCGGCCTTGCAAACAAAAGACTAAACTGGAACAAAGAATGTCATTTGCTGATTGTGCTTCCCTCTGATGGGAAACTTTCCCAGAGTTCAGACTGATGAGAACTGACTTTCAGACACAAAGCTACACCTGCCAAGAGGACCTTGTGTACATAAGGAGGAGAGAAGAACTTTGTACAAAGGATTATGTGGGGGTGGGAGGATATGGTTTGGGGCTCAGGGACTTCAGGACCCTCTTGTTTCTCTCTGGGCTCTCTCTCCCCAGGTGATGACTCCAGAGGAGGCGTGGGAGGGTGGTTGTGCTTTCTTTTGCCTGCTTTCTCAGCAGAAATTCCCTTCCTCCTTCTCCCAGTCCTCCACGGGGTGTTTCTTGTGTTTTCTGCGCTCCTTGCGCTGTTTGTGGTGGTGATGTTGGTGGTGGTGTTGGTGGTGGTGGTGGTGTCTCCGCATCCGATGGTACCGTCTGGCTGTAGGGAAGTGAGGGAGGACAGGGACAAGACAAAATGTGGTAGGAAGGGGTGGCCTGATGCAGAGGGCCCCCTCTGGGAAGAGGAAGTGGCAGAAACTCCAGAAAGGCTGGTAAATTCTCACTTATCTGCAAGGCTATATTACCAGATCGATGTGTACTAATAAGATGTTTTAATCAGAGACTGCAGACAACTGGGGTTTCAGTGGTAGAATTCTTACCTTCCAGACAGGAGACTTGGGATCAGCTCCCAGCCAATGTACCTCATGTGTAGCCCCACCTATCTGTTAGTGGGGGCTTGTGGGTGGTTACGATGAAGAAGGAATTATAGTAGACTAAGATGGACCAGGCAGAAAAGTCTGGAAATCAACTTCTGAAAATCAGCCCGTGAAGCTCTACGGGTCACGACGCTCAGATCCACAGCCGATCATGGGGACAGTGCACTAGCAGGTAGCATTTCGTTCCATTGTGCATGGGGTCACCTTGAGTCAGGGCCTCTCAATGGTGGCTGATAACAACTAGCTAAAACACAGTGGCTGCAATGATGGCTCAGGGGCAGTGTTTCGTTCTGTTGTATATATAGGGTCACTATGAGTCAGAGCCGACTCAACGGCACCTAACAACAGCACCACAAACTTGTGATGGGAGTGTGGGGAGCCACTTACGTTTGGTACAGATGATCTGGGGCCTATCCCACTTGCCGTTGCTCCGGCACCGGATGGTGGCCACATGGTGCTGGGCAAAACCTTCATCGCATTGGTAGCGGACAGTAGCATGAACGTTGTACTTGGCCTTGTGGGCACCAATGAGTGAGGCATTCTCTACTGCTGGAGGGGGCCCACACAGCACTGGGGACAGAGGGGTGTCCAGTTAGGGCTGTGGCCATGTATGGGACTAAGATGGTTTCTTGTCCCAGTGGTAATGACACACTCAGCAGATGCCCCTTCTGCCCCACCCTGACCTCAGAGGGCTAGAAGTGACTGTATCTGGCTCTGTCTCCACCCAAACCAGGAGTTCCTTAGAGACAAGAACTTAGTGAGACCCCATGTGTGTATTCCACAGGGTTTTCAGTGGCTAGTTTTATTTAGAATTAGATCACCAGGCCTTTCCTCCTGGGCACCTCTGGGTGGACTCGAACCTTCAGCCTTTTGGTTACCAACTGAGCCCATTCACCAAAAGAAAGAAAAGGAATGAAAATTGCAAAGAAATGGAAGCAAGACCAAACAAAAGTATAAGAGAGAGATGAACATGAGAATGTGCTCAAATGATTGCCTTAATATGTAAAGAATTCTTACAAATCAATAACACCAACAACACGATAGAAAATTAGGCAAAGGAGATAACCTTGCAGGTTATAGGAAAATAAATAAGCACCAATGACATATCAACATATGATCAGTGCCAAAGTCTCACTCATCATTAAAGATATGCAAATTAAAATAACAATGAGATACTATTTCTTGCCAATTAGATGAGCAAAGATTTAAAAGTTTGAGAATTCACAAAGTTAGTGAGGGCAGGAGGGAATGGCACACCTGCTGGAGAGTGAGAATTGGAGATCTTACCAACTCCACTGGGCTGACTGTTACATTTATAAACTTACATAAAAGGCTGAAGCAGTGAGCTTGAATGCAGAACAAAAGGGCGTGAGCGGACAGGGACAGTGGATGTACCTGTGCCCTTCTTACAGACGTAAGGGAGGTTATAGTTGCAGGGAACATCATTCCAGCGTCCGCTCTCGTGTGCCACCATCACCACACAGTCCTCCCCACCCGCGAAGAAATTGTCTGGCTGGTTCTCTCTCCAGTTCTCATATTGCTGCAGGAATGGGGTTATAGGGGAAAGGGTGCTCAGGGGTTCTGGTTCTGGCCCTGTTGCTGTGGGAGTCACCTGGCAAGACCACTGAAACTCTCAGGGACTCAGTATTCCCATCTCTAAAACAGGCACTGTTTTGACTGCCACCACAGGCCAAGACACTATTGTCTGAGCCACCATGGTCCCAGCACTGTGGTGAGGAGCCCCCTCCTCTGGCTGAGAGACTGCAGTGTCCTCCTCCCTGGTTCTCTTGCTTCCTCATTTTCCCCCCAAATCATGACAGCCTGTTTTCTACATAGGTTACTGTCAAAGAGTTAAGCACCTTTTATGTGCCTGGCCCTGTGAACAAAATGTGGCCTAGCCCTGGAAGTCGAGGAAGGTTTCCCTGAGGAAGGTGACAGGTGAGCTGAGGATTCAAGGACAGGAAGGATCAAGGCAGGGAACAGAGTTCCAAGCAGAGGGAACAGCATGTGCAAAGGCTCAGAGGCAGGACTGAGCCTTTCTGAGGAACCAAGTGGAGGCTTATGGGACCTGTTTAAGGAACTGAGTGGAGGCTGTGGAGCTCAACTCAAGTCAGGGTGTGGCCAGAGAGTGAGCAGACTCTTGGTCATGTGGCCAAGGAAAGGAGGTGCATTTTTATGTGAGGAAATGGGGAACCAGGGAGGACTTGAGGCAGGGGAGGATCTTGCTGGCATGCAGGAGGCAAGAGGCCAGTGAGTAGCCACTGCTAGGGTCCAAGTGAGCAGTCATGGTGGCCACGCAGGCAGTGAGGTGTAGAGGAATGGGTATGCGTGAGAGAACACAGCTAAGAAGTAAGTCCTACGTTTGTAGCCTCAGTAACTGGCTGAGAAACTCAGGGCTAAAGCATGATTTGGGCATCACTGAGCCCTTTTAGCAGCTCCACAATCTCAGAACCACCAGGACCTGTGACATCTACCTGTGGTTGCTTTGCACAGGAGGGTAAACTAAGCCCTGATGGCAGAGCCCAGGCAGCTCAGGCCAGATTCCTCCATTCCAGATGGGGTCCTTGTCAGCTGCCTGAGGGTAGGGACCCTGCTCTAGCTCCAGCCACTCTCCAGCTACTCACCAGCCCCGAGTTGTCTGTCCACTGGAAGTCTCTCTCTACGATCCTATCATTCAGGCCAATCCATGTGTTTTCATGTCCGAAGCCTGTGGATGGGAGGGCGTGAGGACTGGAGACTCTAGCCCCGCCCAGCCTCCAGTTTGGGCTGGAGGTGGGGGGAGCGGCAAGGAGGAAGGTGGCAGGTCCATCCCCTAGTCTCAGGTGTGTGCTGGAGGCCCGATGAGGGGCCATGAGGATTTCGGATCCCAAGATATTCCCCCAACTTTTGAGGTGGTCTGCAGGTGGTAGTGGGGGGCATCTTGAGCTCCTCCTCCAGTCTTAAACAAGGGCTGGAAGTGAGGTGGGGAAAATGAGGATTGGGGACCTTGAGCCCTTCCCCTAACATTCAAGGTAGGCTGGAAGAGGAGAGGTGTATGAGAACCCTGAGACCCTCCCCCAGCCTTGGGGGTGGGCTGGATGCTACATCCTCACATCCATCCCCCAACCCCAGTCAGGCGAGGAATCTGCCTGCCCTCTTACCTGGGGGTTGGGGGTATCACAGAAAGGGTTGGAATTAGGCCCCAGCCTTGCCACGATTTATAGCTTCAATAAACGGGCCAAGGACGGAATACTCAAGGCATGTCCTCTCTTTGAAGATATGAGTGGTAAGGGGACCAGAGACCCCCGGGTCAGCTCCGGGTCAGGAGCAGGGGTGGAGGTGAGTGAGTGAGCAGTACATCTGATTCTACTGAGGAAAAGGAAATGAGTAAACTGGGGAGTGAACCCATGAGAGGATTAACAAGGACGGGATCGGGGAACACGAATGAAACCAGGGACAAGCCCCAGCTGAAGGGTTCACGAATAAATCAATAAATGCTGGATTTCATTACTGCCAGGCTCTGCCCTCCCCCTAGGTCTCTGCAGAGTGTGTTCTGCATCCCATCGCACTCGCCACAGGTGCTCCTCCATCTCCCTCTCTATCCCCTGGCCCTGTTTGATTTGTTAGCAGGGCACCTAGGATGGGTTGAAACTATACTACAGATTTACGTAACTAAATAGTTACTCATTTGTCTTTATCCCCTACCAGAAGTCACTTCTTGAGGACAGAGTGGATGTCTCCAGTGCCTGGAACAGTGACTGGCACATAGCAGGCATTCAGTAATTATGTGGTGAGTGAAGGAAACAAGTAAATATGTGAATTAATAAGAAAATAGAAGGTGAATTAATAAGTGGATGGGACTTGCACTACAGCACACAGCTTAGAAAGGTAATGTCCTCAGGCCTCTGTGGGGGGACCCTGGCAGAGGGCCTGTGGGTTCTACCCTTGCCTACCCTATGGGCTGTTGACCCTCCCCGCCAAAGTCCCTACTGTTAATGAAGGCGTGTTCCTCAGGCGAGTGGATGCTGGTCAGGTGGCCGGCTCGGCGGCGGCAGTCCCTCTCGGCATCCTCCCATGCCCGCCGATGGGCAAAATAGCGGTAGCAGTGGCCCTGAAACTTGTGCCAGCCACGGTCACAGCCCTCTGTGTCTGGGGGTGGTACAAAAACATGAGAGGGGCTGGCTATAGAGCACAGCATTCCCACCAGACCTCTTTGGGGCTAGGTGGCCCCTCTCCTCTGCCCCACTGCCCATCTCTGAGCCCCCTGCAGTCTTTCACCACCCCCGCCCATATTAACATCTTTTCTTTGTTGCTGGAAGAGATTTATCATTACACCCATCATCTCTAGTCCCAATGCTAACAGCTCCTTCCCTGATCTCTGGGGCCACAATGGCCACCCCCTCTGTAGACCTGGTAGATGCACTTTGCCTGAGGCCACAGGAAATGGTCTCAGGAAGGCCTTAAAATTCACTCCTGGCAAAGGGCTTCAAGAGACATTTCTCTAAAGAAGATACACAGGTCAACAGGTTCATGAAAGATGCTCAGCATCATCACTCATCCAAAACAAAACAAAGAACCCTGCCATCAAGTCAACACTGATTCATAGCGACCCTAGAGGACAGAGCAGAACTGCCCGAGGGGGTTTCCAAGGCTGCAAATCTTCATGGAAGCAGACTGCTTGATCTTTCTGCTATGGAGTGGCTGGTGGTTTTGACCTTTTGGTGAGCAACGAATGACTTAACCACTGCACCACCAGAGCTCCATCAGTCATCAGGTAAATGCAAGTCAAAACCATGATGAGGTATCACTTCATACCCACCAGGATGGCAATAATAATAATACTGTTGTTAGTTGCCACGGAGTCAGCTCTGACTCATAGTGACCTTACGTATAACGGAACCAAACATTGGCTAGTCCTGAGCCACCTTCATGTCACTGGAATGTGTGAGTCCATTGTTGTGGCTGTTGTGTTAATCCATCTCATTGAGGGTTTTCCACAATAAGATATATAACAAAAATAATAAAGGAAAATAACAAGTGTTGTTTCTCTTCTTGGAGAAACAGGAACTTTCATCCATTGCTGGTGGGGATGTAAAATAGGGCAGCCACTGTGAAAAAGTTTGGCGGTTCCTCAAACCATTAAATATAGTTACCACATGACCCAGCAATTCCATTCCTGGGTATATACCCAGAAGTATCAAAAACAGGGACTCAAACAGATATTTTCACATGAATGTTCATTGCAGCATGATTCACAATAGCTGATGAACAGAAAGAAACCAAACATTCATCAGTGGATGAATGGATACATGTAATGTGGTCCATCCACACAATGGAATATTATTCAACCATGAAAAGGAACAAAGCACTGATACCTGCTATAACATGAACCTTGAAAACATTACACTGACTCCAAGATCCCAGACACAAAGGCCACCTATTATCTGACTCTGTTTCATTGAAAGGTCCCAAATAGGGAAATCCATAGAGAAGCAAGTTATGGTTGCCAGAGGCTGGGGAGGAGGAATACGGAATGAGTACTAACGGGTAGAAGGTCTCTAGAAAATGTCTGGAACTAGATGGAAGTGGTGGGTACACAACACTGTGAATATGCTAAATGCTGATGAAGCGTGCACTTTAAAATGGTTAATTGTACGTTATATGAATTTTTCCTAAAAATAATTCCTTCCTGTCAGATCCACAGCCCAAGGCTGAAACCAGGAACTTGTGAAGGAAGACTGTGCTGGGCCCCCACCCCACTCCTATGCCATTCCAATGTCATGCTAGAGACTCACCTTTCTCACACAGGCTGCCCCCGTAGCTGGGGAGACAAAGGCAGACAAAGCCGTTGACCTCATCAATGCACGTGCCTCCATTCTCACAGGGGCTGCAGATGCAGTCATCAATGTCTGGAGGCAGGAAGGACCGGGTCAGGGGTCAGTATCCCCCTGGCTCCAAGCCCCACAGGGAACCAAGTGGAAGACAGGGTCATGACCTTGCCGTCCATCCTGGGCATCAGGCACTGGTCTGCCCAGATGGCCCAATGGCTCTGCGCACCAAGGAGGCAGAGCCTCACAAAATTAACATGAATTAGCATTAATGAGAGCAGATGCCACTGGGCTAGATGAGGGCCAGAATGTTAGCACTGCAGAATGTTCCACATGACTCCAAAAGAATGAAGGTTATACTCTTGTACACAGACCCATAGAATGCCAAAGCTGGAGGGCCTTTTAGAATGTTTTGTACCCAGGATACTGGGTTCCAGAGCATTTGCAGGGACTTGCACAGTGTCACAAAGCTGTTTTTAGGTATAGCTAATCAGTTGAACTTCTTTTCTACTGATTCCTGTATAGATGGTGCTTGAGGCACTTAAGACACTAGGCAAGTTGCAGCCCTTCCCTGACATTCAATTTCTTTCTTTGCAAAGTGGTGATAATAATAGTAACCCCTTCAAGGTTCATTGTAAGTAGTAAGTCAATGCATAGAGCTCAATAAATTATATTGATTATATTTATTATTGGAATTCTTTAATTAGTAGCATGGTTGTGAAGGGAGAGCCAATGAGATGATGCATAGAGCTTAAGATATTATGCCATTTATATTTATTGTTATAATTCTATTATTAGTGGTATTTCCTGTGATGGGCTTTGAGGTTAGCATTGAAGAGTTCTGGGTGATAGTACCTATACCCCCCTCCCCACCCTAGGGTAGGGTACCCTAGGGCTCTTAGCTGGGAGGGGCTTGGATCACATCATCCCCTTTCTCTTCCCCTCCTTGCCCCTGACTGGTAGCAACAGGAGGCACCATACCAGAGTCACTGCCCCCAGGATGAGAGAGCTCAGCTGTGGCAGATGGTTTGGTTCCGGTACTAAATGGGACTGATTTAGCTGGATCCAAGAAGTAGGAGAAGGGAGAAGGGAATCCGAAGCCAGAGTTTTGTGATCCCAAGTCCTGGAGGGCAGTGGTTGTTGAGAATTACAGCCCAGGGCTCTGGAGTCGAACAAATCCAGGATCAAGTCCTAGGCCCGAGGCACTCACCAATCTCGCAGTTCTCCCCAGCGAAGCCTTGATCACAGCTACAGCCATACATGGTGCCGTTGGCCATACAGGTTCCTCCGTGCAGGCATGGGTTGTTCTCGCAGGGGTCAGAGGGGTCTGTGGAATAGATGGGCAGTGGGAAGGGGTCAGACCACCTCATTTGCCTTCTCAGAATCCAGGCCCCCAAAGCCCTGCTCATCAAACTCTTTTCTGTGGGGGTCCTCTCTACAACATTTCTAGTAAGGTAGTCACCAACTTTCCTTGTATGCCTCCTGTGACGGGGAGTTCATTCCTTCCAGGAACTGCCCCAAAGTATCTGTAGGCTTCCCTGCCTTGGACTGAACTGATCAGGGCTTCCTGAAGCTTCTCTTAGGAAGTCTTCTCCTGAAACATGAGTTTATGTCCTTCCCTGACTTGTGTCCTTCTAGACATGCCTAGCTGGTCACTAAACTTCTTGTGGTGTGGTGTGGTATGGTGCACAGAAACAAACACAAGGTTCTAGGTGATGTATGAACAACACCAGGGAGATTGGGAACCATCACCTCCTTCATTATAGTGGTTCAACCTATAGTGCAACCTTAGTGGTTATAGTATCAGAGATGGAAGATTATAGTGGTTAAAAGCATGGGCTGCGGAGTCAGAGAGGCCTGGTTCAAGTCCTAGCTCTGCCACTCATGCCACTCACGACAAGTAACTCAACTTCTCTAAATTTCAGTTGCCTTATGTGAAAAACAGGAATTAAATAGTTCATCCCTTGCTCTGCTCTGCTGTGTCCAGATCTGTCCCTATCAGCCTATGGCCTCTTGGGGGCCTCATTGTCACTAAGCATGGGACTGGGCACCCAGAAGGCATCAAAGAATGCGGGTCCCTATCCCTCATCACCCCTAGCTGGGTTTACCTGGAGTCAGGTGGGTCTTCTTCCTCACCTCAGGGGCCCAGATGCCCAGGTGGATGGTGTCCACCCCTAAAGAAGTCCCTCCCCTAGAACCTGGGAGAGTTGGCAAGAGCCCCCACTGTTGCCCAGCCCTTCCACTGCACAGACACTAAAACTAAGGCCCAGAGGCAGAGCCTGGCTCAAAGGCATACATAGAACAGGGCAAGGACCAAAACTGGCCCCAGGTCTCCAGTAATCTTGTTTAAGGCTATCTCTCCACCCCCTGTAACCTAGAATTTGTGTCTGCTTTGCCCTGGGTCTCATAAGAAATTGAGTAATAACAGTCACCTCCTCTCTGGTCTCCCGGATCCCACATTCACCCCCCACAGTCTGTTCTCCCTACAGCAGCCAGGGGGAGCTTGTGAACTCCGTTCAGGTCATGTCCCTCCTCTGCCTAGAGCTCTCTATGGCTCCCCATAGCCCACTGAATAAAAGACAAGTTCCTCACTACAGTCCACAAGATCTTATATAACCCTATACCTTTCTCCAGCACTTGTCTGTCAGTTTGTCACACTGTGGTGGCTTGCATATTGCTGTGATGCTGGAAGCTATGCCACTTGATATTTCAAATACCAGCAGGGTCACCCAAGGTGAACAGGTCTTAGGAGAGCTTCCAGACTAAGACAGACTATGAAGAAGGAAGGAGTGCCACTTCTGAAAAAGTCAGCCACTGAAAACTATGGATAGCAGGGAAACACTGTCTGATACAGTGCCAGAAGATAAGCCCCTCAGGTTGGAAGGCACTCAAAACACAACTAGGGAAAAGCTGCCTCCTCAAAGTAGAGGTGACTTTAATGCTGTGGATGAAGTAATGCTTTTTGGATCTTTAGTTGCTGATGTGGCACGACTCAACATGAGAAAAAACAGCTGCAAACATCCATTAATAAATAGAATGTGTAATGTACAAAGTATGAATCTAGGAAAATTGGAAGTTGTCAAAAATGAAATGGAATGAGTAAATATCGATATCATAGGCATTAGTGAACTGAAATGTACTGGTATTGGCTATTTTGAATCAGACAATCATATATAGTCCATTATGCCAGGAATGAAAAATTGAGAAGGAATGGCATCACATTCATCATCAAAAAGAACATTTCAAGATCTATCCTGAGGTAAATCCTGTCAGTGATAGGATAACATCCATACACCTACAAGGAAAACCAGTTAATACTATTATTATTCAAATTTAAGTACCAATCACTAAAGCCAAAGATGAAGAAATTGGAAGATTTTTGCCAACTTCTGCAGTCTGAAATTGACCAAACATGCAACTGAGATGTATTGATAATCACTGGTGACTGGAATGCAAAAGTAGGAAACACTGGTAGTTGGAAAATAGGGCCTTGGTCACAGAAATGATGCTAGAGATCACATGATAGAATTTTGCAAGACCCATGAGTTACTCATTGCAAATACCTTTTTTCAATAACATACATGGCTACTATATACCAGATAGAATACACAGGAACCAAATTGACAACATCTCTGTAAAGAGATGGTGGAGAAACTCAGTATCATCAGAACAAGGGCAGGGTCCAACTGTGGTACAGACCATCAATTGTTCACATGCAAGCTTAAATTGAAGCTGAAGTAAACTGAAACAAGTCCACAAGAGCCAAAATAGGACCCTGAGTATATTCCACTTGAATTTAGAAACCATTTGAAGAACAGGTTTGACACATTGAATACCAATGACCAAAAACCAGGCGAATTGTGGGATGACATCAAGACTATCATATGTGAAGAAAGCACAAGGTCATTTATTTCAAAGGGCAGCTCAAGAAGACAAAGTAAAATATTACAATGAAATGTGCAAAGACCTGGATTTAGAAAATCAAAAGGGAAGAACACATTCAGCATTTCTCAAGCTGAAAGAACTGAAGAAAAATTTAAGCCTCGAGTTGCAATATTGAAAAATTCTATGGGCAAAATACCGAATGATACAGAAAGATAGAAGGAATACACAGAGTCACTATACCAAAAAGTACTGATTGATGTTTGACCATTTCAGGAGGTAGCATATAATCAAGAACCGACGGTATGGAAGGAAGTTCAAGCAGTCCTGAAGGCATTGGTGAAAAACAGGGCTCCAGGAATTGATGGAATACCCATTGAGAGGTTTCAACAACTGATACAATGCTGGAAGCATTCACTCTTTCGTGCAAGAAATGCGGAAGACAGCTACCTGGCTGACCAACTGAAGAGAATCGTATTTGTGCCCATTCCAAAGAAAAATGATCCAAAAGAATGAGGAAATTATTTTTTAAAATATCATTATATCACATGCAAGTAAAATTTTGCTGAAAACAATTAAAAAATAGTTACAGCAATACATTAACAAAGAACTGCCAGAAGTTCAAGCTGGATTCAGAAAGGGACATGGAACAAGGGGTATAACTGCTGACAGATGGACCCCACCACCACCACCACACTGTTCCAACACCCCTATCAGGGCTCTGCCTCAGGGCCTTTGCACACGTCGTTCTTTGCCTGGATTGGTCTTCCCCCAGATCTCTTCTACACCTCCTTTGCTCCAATTTCATCTTCTTAGAGAGCCTTAGGATGACCTACTCCCACTCCCAATCCGAACTGTACACCGCCCCCAGCACTCCCTCCCCAACCTGTGCTTTATCTATCTCTAGTGCTCCTATCACCATTCTAAATCCAACATAATCCATTCATTTATTAGGATTGTTTCTTGTCATACGTGGCTATTTAACTTTAATTTTTTTTTTTTTTTAAAGTGAAAACACAGTTCCTCAGCACACTAGTCACATTCCAATTGCTCAGTAGTCACACATGGCTGTGGCTACATTTTTGGACAGGACAAATGGACAGCCTTTCCATCACTGTCTTATCAAAGTCCTAGAATGTCAGTTTCCAGAAGACAGTTTTGGTCTCAGCCCAGGGCCTGGAACACAGCATGCACTCAATTAATTGCTTGCTAACTGAATGATGTCATAGGTGTCCCCTCTGTGTTGGTTGAGGCCTGTCTCTGGGGTGCGGCTGGAAGGGCTGTGTGTCTGTGTTGGCCCTAGCACGTGTGTGCACACGCATGGGGCTTCAGGATGGTGGGGCCACGTGAGCCCCACCAGGTGCCCCATGCTGCTGACACCTGCCCACGGACTGGCGGTGACTCAGTCGCTCGCGGGTGCTGCGTTTATTTTTGGCTTCATTAGCATTTCTGCTGCAAGTGGCGGGTGGGTAGTGACTGGGTGTCCCCCAACACCACCCGCCTCCCTCCACCCTGGCTGCCACTGACTTCAGTATGAACCAGAATCCAGAAAAGTCCAGGACAGACCCAGCCCTCTGCACAAGATTGTTTCCTCAGCTCCAATCTGCCTGGATCCACTCTTCTAACCATCTCTAGCTCTTCTCGGCCTCTCCCTGAGCCAGGTCACCCCCTCCCCAAGGCTCCATTCATTTTTGCACATCAAGGAAATAAGCTTGATGTGGCCTAGTGGCTGAGACTGAGTTCCTGCAGTCCGATGGCCTGGATTTAAAGCCAGCCTGGACATTTCTCAGCTGGATGACATTGCACATGTCACTTAACCTCTCTGTGCCTCAATTTTCCCATCTGTAAAGTGGAGCTGACACTTGGACTTGTTCCACAAGGACCTTATAGGTATCATGTTGTTAGCTGACACTAAGTCAGCCCCTGACGTGTGGTGACTCTATGCATAACGAGAGAAAACGCTGCCCAGTCCTGAACTATCCCCATGGTTGGCTGAAGATGGGACTGTTGTGATCCATAGGCTTTTTGTGGGCCGACTTTTGGAAGCTGGTTGCCAGGCCTTGCTTCCCAGTCTTAGTCTGGATCCACTGAAAACTGTTCAGCATCACAGCCACATGCAAGCTTCCACTGCCAGATGGGTGGTGGCTGGACATAAGGTGCACTGGCCAGGAATAAAAGCCAGGTCCCCACTTGGAAGGCAGGCGTTCTATCACAGAACCACCACTGCCTCATTGCAAAGCCTGGGAGAATAACCACAAGGATGATGCATTACATAATAAGGTAAAGGGCACATATGAGGACAACTACAAACCAAAAAGAGGGAAAAAACTGTGTTGTTACAGAACTTCTAGATGGCAAGAAAGTCAAGACAACTACAAGATAGAATGGACTGTTCTAAACTTGGGAAGAAAACTATAAATCACAGGGTAACCTCAAAGAAAAATGATAAACCTTCACATCAAAAAAGAGGACCAGCATAAATATTCAGCAACTACTAAAACAATAGCAATGAAGGAAGTGATAACACGATTCATAAACAAAACGAGCTCAGCATAGAAAATTATATGGAACAAAGAAATCGAACAAAGAAATCGACACCACGAAAAAGTACGTAACAAAAATGACAGCAACAAATTCATATCTGCTGATAATTACATATCTGGCAAGGGACTTATCTCTAAGATTCATAGCGGAAGAGTGGATGACCAAACTATGGTACATACACATAATGGAATGCTATGCAGCACTAAAGAATAATGTACAGTCTGGAAAACACCGCATAATTTGGATGAACTTGGAGGACATTATGCTGAGTGAAATAAGTCAATCACAGAAGGACAAATACAGTATTAGTTAGTTGTTGCGGAGGGTCAAGGAAAGGTTTATATATGGAGGGAAACTTTCTTTGTTGGTTGCCAGGGATGGGAGGTGTGGGGCAGGAACACTGCAAAAAAAAAAAAAAAAAGCATTGACCCATGTCACTTGTTTTGTGTATTTCACTGTACATAAATTATATTTCAATAAAATGCATTAAAAAATGAATTGAAAAAATAAGGTAAAGGACTGAGCACAGGCCAGGCACACAACACACAGAAACCAACAAATGCAGCTTTTATCAATAGTTGCACCCCAGCCTGGGGTCCACCTGTCTCTAGGTCACCTAGTAAAGAGGATTGCACCTGGACACAGCCCAGAGGTGCCAGAGTGGACAATGAAACTCATGCCCACTACTTCCATCACTGCTGTACTTTGCCTTCAATAAAGGGGTAAGTTAAAAGCCAGCTGTGTTAATAAGAATGTTTTACAGCTTAGAAAAAGTGCTTTTGAATTAGCTTCATTTTTCTTAAAGCTCACTTGACCAAAAAAAAAAAAAAGCTTAATATGGCAGGATGTAAAAGAAGGGCCAGAACTGTGCAGACCAAGTCCAGACCTGGTCTGGGGTGTTCTCTGGACTCCCCTGGCATCTAAGACTCACCGGATGTGGGCTCTAGCCACTAACAAGCCCTGGAAGCAATGTACTTACCCTAAGACTCAGTTTGCTTATCTGTAAAATGGGGGTGATTCTCACAACTCCTGCCCCCTCGCAGGACCCACACTCCTTTCCCTGTGGCTCCAGGCTCCTATGACCCCCCTCAATGGAATTCCAGCTCCAGGGCCCCTTGTCCTGAAACCCTCCCTGCCCCACATTCTTCTCTCTGGCTCTCCCCTGGGAATGTCTGTGTCTCGCTCTGTCTCTCCCAGGCTGGGGTTCTCCTAAGGCTAGCCCCTACTACTGTGGGGTCCAGAGTAAATGTGGCATGGTTACTCAACTAAGCCCATGCTAAAACTCAAATTGTATAAATGTGGTGGTTCAGTTATTGTGTCAACTTGGCTGGGCCTGGTTGAGTGGCTGGTTGCAATTATTCCCCATGGTGAGACCGGTAATCAACTCCATGTTGGAATCTATTGGAGCAGCTGAGTAGTTGCTTTAGGAATGTGGTCTGCTTCCCATTTGTAAGAAACCGCTTTGGGAATGGTCTCTAGCCTTTTGGCATGCTTGAACCATGCATGTAGCCGAGTCATTGTTCAAGAGCCTGCCATGCCCTGCCAATCTTGGGATGTCATCTGGACTTGAATTAGTGGCCTGCCATGTTGTTTGGTAACATTGGGACTATGCCTTGGGCTTGTCAGCCTCAGCAGCCAGTAGCTGTCTAAGTAAAGAAAAGCCACTAGTTTCAATGGGCCGGGAGCAGGAGGCAGAGCTGAAGCCCAAGGTTGAGGGATTTTCACCCAGCCCCTAGAGCCTGGTACTTTGAACTTGGACTTAAAGCCTCCAAAATTGTAGGAATAAACTCCTGTTTGTTGAAGCCATTCCATTTGTGGTATATTTCTGTCAGAGTGGCACTACTTAACCAAAACGATACCCAATACCTTATCACTCCCAAACGCTGACCATAAGGCACACTTCTAAGCTCAAATGGACTTAGAGCGACCTTACTTCCTGGTCTTTGCCCACATTGGCCCCTCTGCCAGGAATGTCTGTTCCCCAGTGAGCTCCCACCTCCAAAGTCCCTGGTCCCTTGGAGAGCCCTCTCTCCCACTCTGGCTCCCCTGGTCCCCAAGCCCTGACCACTGAAGGTTGAACTTGGCCATGGAGCTTCAGACTCACCCTCCTCCAAGCTCCCCTTGGTGAAGGTCCCCAGCAGGGCTGGCTCCTCTCCACTCGCTGCCTCCTCCCAGGGGCCCTCCACACCTAGGCCCTCTGCCACGACCTCCAGATCCAACTCCTCAGGGCCCAGGGATGCAGGCAGCAGGGTTCCAGGGTACTCCCATAGGGTGGTTGGCTCCCCTGAGGCAATGGAGGCTGCCTTGTCCATGCTGGCTGCAGTTGGCGTCCACAAGGGGCTGTCTTCCCTCGGAGGGGCTGAGGTCCCCAGTGTCCCTGCCTGGCCCTCTGGCTCTGCGTAGGGTTGGAAGCTTGGGGAGGCCAATGTGGATATGGCAAGGACCTCAAGCTTTTCCTCTGGTTCCAGGGACATGAGTGAAGTCACCACTCTTGTATCCACAGTCACCAGTGGGCTCAAGGCAGAGCTTTCAATTCCCTCAGCCACACGGGATCCAGGTCCCCAAATTCCACTGGCATCTGTGGGGCCCTCTGTGGTTCCCCCATCCACAGCATCCTGAGACTTCAAACTCAGGTTTCCTGCTCTGTCAAACGAGGGTACTCCAGGCACCAAGGAGACTCCAGGGGTCCCTGAGGGCACATCCAAGGGGTGGAGGTGCAGCCCGCTGCTGTCCATCTCGTCTGCAGTGGCTGACAGATCAAAGATGCCAGACTCAGACCCTAAGACATCTCCAGTTCTCGTGGGCCCAGTGGGGGTCTCAGAGGGAGTCTCAGAGGGAGTGAATACAGCTTCTACATCCTTGCTTATGGAAGTCCATGGGCTGGGGCTGGGGTGTTCGAGTTTGCTCAGCTGAGCAGGGCTGGTTCCTCCAACTTCTCTAGCATCGGTGCTGGTGGAGTTAGGGATGACTCTGGCTTCTTGGTCCATAGTTTCCTGTGAGGGAGCTGGGGAACTGTTTGTTCTGTGGCTGCTGAGAATCAGGGATGTGGCCTCTCCACTCTGTCTTGGGGGGCTTAAGGAGGGGAGCAGATGAGACACCTCTGGGTTGCTGAAGCCCTGGGGGCTGGCCTCAGTTTCTGAGTCAGGGGAAGGTGGGGAAGCAGCTGTGGCCTTGCTATGCCCTTCAGCCCCATGGCCCTCAGAGGAGATAGGTGTAGGGGATGCTTGGGGCCATGGATTACCAGCACGCAGCATGGCCATGACAGGGAGGTCCAGGGAGGTAGCCATGGAGGAGGCATCCTGGGGGCTGGTACTGGGGCCGAGAGCCAGGATAGGGGCCTCTGAGGGGGGCCAGGGCTGGGTAGAGGTAACTGGCCTCATGCTGAGGCCTTCATCTTCCTGGAGCTCCAGGCCAGGGGCCCTGCTAGAGCCTGGGGTACTGGGTGGGAATACAGTCGGGAGCCACAGCCAGGGCTCTGGGGAACTCCTGCCACCAGGGGAATCTGAAACAACATTAACAACAGTAATAATTATCTCAGGGCAGCTCTAGGGCTTTTCCAGTTGAGCATCACCAAGGATGGGGGACTCAGCAGCTACTCCTCATCCTAACAGTGGCTACATCTTCCCACCCTCAGACCCCCAGGCAGGTCTCTTGGACCCGGACTCACAAGCTCCAGGTCTGTCCACCTCATTGGTCAGGATGTCCCAGGGGCTTGGGTCGGCTGAGGCCTCGGTGACTCCCGTGGCCATGGGAGGCTCCACGTGGTTCTCTGTGGCTTCCAGTGTCGGGGGTAGGATGCTAGCCTCCAGCTCTCCATCCAGCCCTTGCTCCAGCTCCTGCTGCTGGAAGTGGCGCCCATTCAGCCCTTTGAAGCGCCCCCTCCTCCTAGGCGTGGGGCTGGCCAGGGAGGGCTCAGTGTGAGATCCCTCTGCAGTGCCCTCCTTGCTGCTGGGGCTGGGCCCCACGGTGCTCAGCCACACCTCCTCAGCCTCTAGGGAGGCTATGGAGGCCCAGGCCAGAGTGGGGGCCCTAGGGGAAGGGCTGGGGGTCTTTGGGGACTCCTGCTTCTTGGATAAGATAAGGGGCTCTTCCTCCCCACTGGACACCAGAGACTCCTGGAAGTCAGGGGTGACTGGCTTCTCTTTTCCCAGGCTGGGCTCCAGTTCTCCGGCCGTGGGCCCCTCTGCTGACAGAATCTCCCCCTCGTCCCCAGACGACGGGGTCTCTGCATCTCCATGTTGTGGTGTGGGGTGGTGGGCTGTGGGAAAAAGCAGAAGAGATTGTCAGGCCCAGGATTCGTTAGAAAGTTCTGCCTGAATCTACTCAGGCATCCTGTGCATCCCTCTGAGTCTCTCTGTTTCTCTGTGTCCCTGTGTCTCTCTCAGTGGTCTCTGGGAACACCCAGCCTCAGAGAGAGCAAAAAGTTATCACCCCATTGTTCAAGATGGGGCCCACCTAAGCCCCTTGTCAGGGTCAGAGATAAGTGGCTTGGAAACCCTGTTGTTGTTGTTGTTGTTATGTGCCCTTGAGTCAGACCTGACTCACAGAGACCCCTTCTTGGGTTTCCGAGGCAATATCACTACGGAAGTAGATTGCCCAACCTTCCTTCCGAGGAGTGGCTGGTGGGTTTGAACCGCCAGCCTTCTGGTTAGCAGTCAGGTGCCTTAGGCACTACACTACCAGAGCTCCTTGGAAACCCTATTAGGCAGTTCTATTCTTGACTTGGGAGCTCAGGCAGCGTAGTGCCTAAGGCATTTGACTGCTAACCAGAAGCCTGGCGGTTCAAACCCACCAGCCACTCCTTGGAAGGAAGATGAGGCAATCTACTTCCGTAGTGATATTGCCTCAGAAACCCAAAGAGGGGTCGCTATGAGTCGGGTCCCACTCAATGGCATGTAACAACAACATTCTTGACTTACTGGCAACAGGTTTAGTTTTGGGTTCTTTCGTGGCTGTGACCAGCCTTGGAAACCCTATAAGGCAGTTCTACTTTGTCCTATATAGTCAACTATGAGTTGGAATTGACTTAACAGTAACAGTTCTGGTTTTGGGTTTTTTTGCAGCATGGCCAGAGCAAGGAGGGGAGTGGATTGGTCATCACAGGTGCGTGGCCATCACCGAGGACCATGACTAAGATAGGGTATGATCCTTCCAGAGGGGTCTGGCCCATGGATTTTATTTTAATACGTCCTGTCCTTTTGAGGCTGGGCTGTCACAAGCGGAGCTGGGCTGCACTCACCTCGGAAGCAGTAGGCGTCGAAGCGCGCAGCAGGCGCAGGGAAGCCAGTGCGGTTGGCAAAGCGGTAGACAGTACGCACGCCCGGTGCCAGGCCCCCACAGCGTCTACGCGGCGTCTGGATCGGGTAGCGCACACTGCCATCTGCTAGCCAGCCTGGGTCACATTGATCCAGGCCTTCATGCCAGGCCAGGTGCAGCTGCCCCACTGAGGCTAGCATGGCACCCTGGCGGCGGCACTGAGCACGTGCTCCAGCTAGGGTCAGGCGGCGGGCTGGACCCACATAGAAGACCTCGCCTGTGGGGGAGTCAGAGGGGGTCAGGCTGGGCTGGGGATTCTCCTGCAGCCTGAGAAGAGGGTCTCAGTCCAGTCCAAATAGTCCCAATCTATCAGAATTTGGGTGGGTGTTTGACCAGATCACAACCACCTCTGCTGTGTGGCCAGGTTACCTGAGCACCTTGTCCTAAGAGAGGGCTTAGTCTCTTTTTACAAATAAGTTAACTCAGGTCCCTGAACAAGTTGGGCTCCAAAGAGAGGGAGAGGCTCAGTGAGGGAGATAGGGGCTCAGACATGGAGATGGAGCTCAAACAGGGGAGTAGAGCTCAGGTCTTAGCTGTAGATTCAGAAAGCATGAAACTCAGGAGAGGTGTGCACTCAGGGAGAGATAGGGATAGGGAGGGTGACAGGAGTTCAGAGGTGCTGTGGGTGGTTTTTCCAGTTCCAGACTTACCCCCCAGCTCACGGGCAAAGCAGTAGACATCATAGAGTTCCTGTGGGTCTCTCCGCCCATAGCTCCGCACTCCTGGAAGGCTGCTCCGGTCGCCATAGCAACCAGGACGAGACTGGGTGATAGGATACCTGACAAGACAAGGGGGGAGCCCCTCTCAAAAGTGTGCTACTGGGACCTCCAAGGGCCCTCTTTTCCCAGAGGTAAGCCTCCCATCTTCCCATCTCGAGTCCCTTCTCACCGAACAGTACGATCAGAGAGCCAGCCAGCATCACAATTGTCAAAGCCATCCTCGAAGGCAGCCTGCAGGTGCCGTGGGGCTGCGATAGTGGCTGAACTGAGACGGCAGGCTTCCTGGGCCTCAGCAAAGGTCAGTGCATAGCGGTCCCGGGCCGCCCGGTAATGGAACACAACACCTTTAGGGAACAAACAGGATAAGGAGGGCTGCTCATGTTGGCATCTGCAACAACAGACCTCCTCTTTTGCTGAGTGATTCCCCAGTGTTATAATAGTAGACCTGTTGCCCTACTGTGTGCCCTGAACCACATTCATTCACTCAGTGCCAGGCACATTGCTAGGGTGATAGTGCCGGAACACTAACATGCCCCCATTTTATAGATTAGGAAACTGATACTAATGATCATAAAAATAAAAAAAATCAAACCCATTGCCATTGCCATGGTGACTTCTTGTGTGCAGAGCAGAACTACCCCATAGAGTTTTCTTGGCTGTAATCTTTACAGCAGCAGATTGCCAGACCTTTCTTCAGCAGTATCGCCGAGTGGGTTTAAACTGCCAACTGTTAGGTTAGTAGTTGAGTGAAAACTGTTTTTGCCACCCAGGACCTTAATAATGACCATAAAGAGTTAAGATTTGTTAAATATTTACTATGTGCAAAGCATTTATAAGCATTATATTCTCGAATGCTTACCACAACCCTATGACTATCTCCATTTTCCATAGGAAGAAATTAAGGCTCACAGAGATTAAGGGACACATCCAATGTCACAGACCAAGCATGAGGCAGAGCCAGGATTCAAATCTAGAATGATGTGACTCCAAAGATGGCACCTTCATGCCCAGAGTTAGGCCCTGGAGATGACAGGAGGCATGGAGAAGGGACTCTACCTTTTAGGAATTAAAGGCCCTGAAGAGAAAAACACAAGCAACAATGGGAGGCCAGTTCTTGCCAAGACTGAGGATGAGGTCATGGAAAGCTTCCTGAAGGAGGTGGCATGTATGTCAGGCCAGAAAGCATCCATAATGGCTCATTGTAACTCAAAAGAGATAAAAGAAATGGTTGAGCAAAAAAAAAAAAAAAAAAAGTGAATTAAACATTTTGCTTTGTGTTATCAGACTGAGTGATGCCAGAGGTCAGTGGCTCGTACATTCCATGGCATGTCCCAGGCAAGTGGTAGGTGTTTAAGAAATGTTTTGTTGAAAAAGACCTGGTTTACTGGTCTGGTACAGCCTCATGAGACCCCCAAGACTATGGCCCCTAGTTACCCTTCAGGTCTGGATTTCAACTCACTCCCATGGCTTTCAGCCAAATGACAAGCAGGCACATAGGGTGAACATTTCCATCAAGTAGAACGATCAATTGTGGGAGAACAGAAGTGCAGTGTTTGCACAAGGAGATAGCTCAGGGGGCAGGAATGCATAGGAAAGAAGGACACAGGGAAGAGATAACTACAGGGAAGAAGTGGGAAGAGAGCTGTTACATTGGGGGGATTGCAGTCAATGTCATGAAACAAAATGTGTATGAACTGTTATATGGAAAATAAATTTGTTCTGTAAACTTTCACCCAAATCACAATAAAAATAAAATTAAAAGAACAAGAAAAGGAAGAAAAAAGAAATGTTTTGTTGAATGGATGAATGAAACAGACTCAGACACGGAATTTGCTGTCTTTGACAGCAATCAGTTTTCTTTGAGGTCTATCACTTTTGAGAAGTAAGGCCTTGAAAGGTGAACAACTCCATAAAGTAGGCCATGAGACATTATTTGGTTTGAACTACCCCAGGTTCACAGGTGGGGGGACATTGAGCCCTGGCAGGTAGGTGCAGAGACTAACTCAAGGTCACAGGACAGGTTAAGGGAGGTTGGCTTCCTAGCAGGAGTTCACAGAATGCTTTTCACCCAATGATCCATTTGCTGCGTTGTTCATCAAAGATTTATTTATTGAGCACCTACTGTGAACCAGGTTCTGTTCTATGGCTTTTGTTTTAATCATTTAGTTATTTTTTTATTTTTGCCTTATCTACCCTGATCGGTTAAGAAAACAGAAACTATTCTGGATATTTCAACAGAGAATTTAATATAAGGAATTAGTTAAACAGGTATTACAGGACTGTTATTTACATAATATATATTTTTAATCGGCTTGCTTTTTTAAAAATAGCTTCGCTTTTTAAAAAGTTAAATAAATTTATTTTAAGGGATACTTTATATTCTTATTTTAAATAGAAAGCCAATATTCTTTGCCTTATGTAATACCCTTCGCCTTACATAAAACTATTGGTAGCTGCTATCAAGTCAGCCCCTGAGTCATGCAACAGAACAAAATGCTGCCCAGTCAGTCCTGTGCCATTTCCATGACTGGTTACGGATCACATGGTTGTGATCCATTGGGTTTTCATGGGCTGGTTTGCAGGAGTGGATCATCAGGCCTTTCTTCCTAATCCATCTTAATCTGGAAGCTTCACTGAAACCCATTCAACATCACAGCAACATGGATGCCTCCAATGACAGATGGGTAGGGGCTGCACATGAGAGGTACTGGCTGGGAATGGGTCCCTGGTCTCCTGCATGGAAGGCAAGATTCTTCAACTGAACCACTAATGGTATATAAAGTTAGGTAATCATAAAATAAGGAGCTTTGATGGCATAGTGCCTAAGGCATTTGATTGCTACCCAGAAGGTTGGCAGTTCAAACCCACCAGCCACTCTGCAAAAGTAAGACTGGGCAATCTACTTCCGTAAAGATTTACCGCCTCGGAAATCCAATGGGAGGTCGCTGTGAATCGGAATTGACTCAATGGCAGTGAGGTTTTTTTTTGTTTTTTAATCATAAAATGGACTTAAAACAGGGGGGTGAAATCCTTCCTAGATACTATGGCCCGTGGGAGATTGAGCTGGAGGCAGTTCTCTTGGCTAAAAGGGAGGATGTTAAAGGCACGTCAATGGCCTTCTTTGTGACTCCATCAGAGGAACCAAAGGGGATCACTGTTCAGGGCATGCTTTCTAAGATATTACCTGGTGGGTGGGTCTCTGACTTAGCTCCTTCCCCCTCCCAGCCTTAGCCCCTTCTCCCCCTCCTGGCCTTAGCTCCTTCCCCTCCTGACTGACCTGTCACTTCCAGGGGCACCAGATCCTGCTCATCCTCAATGCCCCGAACCACCTGGCAGCGGTACAGCCCTGAGTCACTGGCCCTCAGTGGCCCCAGCAGCATCGTGGCATTGGCGCGGTGCCAGGGGTATGTGGGCAGTGACACACGTCCCTGCCAGTCTTTGGCCACCCGCACCACGTTGTCCTTGGCCACCAGTATGGGCACGTCCTGCCGTTGGCCCGACGCTGTCCGCACCTTGGTCCACTTGATCCGAGGGGCATCTCGGGTCATGCCCAGCCGGGGCCACAGGGTGAAAAAGCAGGGCAAGGCTACTAGCTCAGCCAGGGCGGCCCGCACCGACCCTGACCCCACCTTCTGCATGTGGAGCCCCTTCTCAGTGTCCTGTGTGCCTGGAAGGGAGGAGGCAGAGAAAGGGCCTGGCTCGAGGCAAAGACCAGAGGCTGCTACTGGCTTCGTTTCACAGATAAGGAAACCAAGGCCAAGGAGGTCAGGCTGCCTACATGATGTCACAAAACAGTGACAAGTTTGTGAGTTTCATCCAAATGGAGAGGGAGCAATAGGGTCAAACCCATTCATGGTCCTGCCTCTGCTTAAAATCCAGATCTAGGAGGCCTCTTTGTATAGGAACAGGGATAAGGAGACATGCTTCAGTCCCAGTGTCACTTTCCCTCTTTGAGCCTTGGTTTCCCACAAGTTAAGGAAGGAGCAGCCACTGGATGGGAAATGGTGTTCATGGCGTGCTTTCTATGTGCCAGGCACTTTAATAGCAATCAATTCATTTAATCTTCTTAAATATCTGCGGAGGTAATTATGTATCATTCTCTTTTCAGAGGACTAGGGAAATCTGAAGCTCAGAGAGGTGACTCTACTTGCCTAAGGTCACAGAGCACATCAGGGAGGCATTTTCAAAGCCTAGGCTTTTGACCACTGCTCCAGAGATGCCAGAGAGAAACAGGCATATAGACCTCCCTTTCTATTGCCCCACCTGTGGTAGATATCACTAATCAGTCTCCTCACTAATCTCATCTCATCTCTCCTCTCTCTCCTCTGTCTCTTTCCCTCTCCCTCTAGCTCATCTCAGCAAAACAGTGAGAGGCGGGAACCTCCAGCCTCTGCTGGCAATGACTAAAAATATGTCTCAGGTGTCTGGTTCGCTTTTGACTGTTCAAAGACCTTTTTCATCTATTCTTGTTCTGTTCTCTAGACCAAGCCAGGGAGCCAGCAAGAGAAGGCTCTGGAGTTAAAAAGCAGCCCCAGCTTGTCAACCCCTCAGACCCCAGTCTCTCCCTCCCTACAAGCCATCTCACCTTGTTCCCCAGCCACAAGCAGCAGCATCTGGATCATCAGGAAGCCTGTGGCCCAGACAGACATGACCTCCATCCTGGACCTGGAATGAGAGGGGGAACAGGGTAAGTCACAGCAGGAACTTCCCAGCCTCTTGGAATGGGAAGCCAGGGCTCAGAGAGGCCAATCAGTCACTCAAGGTCATAAGCAAACAAGTAAGAGCTGAGCTAGGATTTGAACCCAGGACCAGCTGACTTCAGAATCTAAGGAATGATGCTCATGATCAGAAGCATGGAGTGAGTCAGACTTGGGATTGTCTCTCTGTCTCTTCCTTGCTTTGTGACCTTGGGGAAGCAGCTTAACCTCTCTGTGTCTCGGGTTCTTCATGGGTCAAATGGGGTGATATCAGATGGTTGGAAGGAAGAGATGAGTCAATGCATTTAAAATGCCTTAGTCTGCCTGACACGAAGGAGTAAATTTCAACTGCTGTTATTATTATTGACCTCCACACAGCCCAGAAAGGGATCCCATTTTTCAAGTTAGCCTCCCTCGTTAGACTAGGGGCTCCTGGAGGGAAACAGCCAGCCCCAGTTCTCTCTGGGTTCCCAGCCTTTAAGCTGGGTCTGCTGAGTGACACGATTCTCAGCTTCAATTCCAGGATTTGGTTGTTGCCAGGATTCTATTCTTGGTTTCTGGGATTTTTGAGGAGCTGCCAACTCTCAGCCGGAAGAGGGGGCCTCACCCAGCCCACCCCACCCTCCCTGGCTTCTCACTGCCTGGAGAGGGTGCCTCTGCAGCCTACAGAGAAACCTCAGTGGTGGGACCAGCCTTCCACAGGGTCTGTGATCCATGGGCATACACTGGGCAATTATTGAGTGCCTAGTGTGTACTGAGGAGCTCTGGTGGCATAGTGCCTAAGGCATTTGATCACTAACCAGAAGCCTGGAGGTTCAAACCCACCAGCTGCTCCTCGGAAGGAAGATTGGGCAATCTACTTCCGTAGTGATACCACCTCAGAAACCCAAGGAGGGGTCGCTGTGAGTCGGATCCAACTCGATCACAGTGAGTTTGGTTTGGTTTGGACTGTATCCTGTGTGCAACCCCCATTCCAGGCACAGGGATACAGCAATGCCCTCCAAGACTTCGTATTCTGACAGAGACTAGAACCCTGGGCAGGTGACCCCTCCCCAAAGCCCCCCATCCCTCACAGAGCTAGGCTCAGGAGGTGGGGCAGATGGGAAATGAGAACATCATGTTCAAGCCCAGTGCTTGCACACACACACACACACACACACACACACCAGTTAAAAGATTAGCCCTGAGAAGGGCTGGGGATAGAGCTCCAGAATGGGGGTTGTACAGGACAGCTGTCCCAACTCCAGTTCCTAGAGGCCAGGGCTGGGAGGCCAGCAGGGACCTGTCCGTGGTGCTGAACTCTTCGACGGCATATTGGGATTTTTGAGCAGCACAGCCCACCTGGTCGCGGCCCACCCGGCTTAACCACACCTTGGAGCACAGAGAGGGCTTGTGGTTTGCCTCAGGTGACTCAACAGAGCAGCAGCAGCGATCAGGCCCCGGATTAGTGCCCTCCAACTACCAACTGGTAAACCTTAGCACCTTCTATCCAGGCTGTCCTCAGTTCTTCCCTGGAGACCCCAAGCAAGTGGGGTTCGCTGATGGCTGGTCAGCCCTGGCTAAGCATTAGGCAATGAGAATGCAGCAGAACTCTGGGCCAAGGAATTCACACTCACATTCACCCTGTAATACACACTCATTTGCAACTTTCAGGGGATTCACACACACTCACACTTGCACACACATTCATCTGCAACTCTCACACTGACACATCCATATTCATACACACATATAACGCACACATGTGTACACATTCACTATCACTCACACACACACACATGCATACAAGTCTCATCTACACACTCAGACACTCAGACACAATATACACCCTTACATGTTCACATACACATACACGCTCATGCCTCTCCTCCTTATAGGCTTGGCAACCTTGGACAAGCTGTTTCATCACTCTGTGCCTCAGTTTTCCTATATGCCATATGTAAAATGGGGATACTTCAGTATCCACCTAATAGGGGTTATCTAGCAGAAGAAATTAGTTCAGACTTTAAGGTCCTAGAAATGTTAAATTGAACAACAGCTTTGTGCACATACCCAAACACACCAAGCGCCCAACACAGTGACAGACACAGAATTTTAGGAGCACACCTCTTTTCCACATCTAGGTACTTACTCAGTCCCCCCTCCAGTGCTTACCCTCACAAACCCGCATCCTTCTCTCAAAACACCTCCTCCTAGGGCCTCCAGAGGTGAGCGTTTACACAGCTGTCTAGGGTTCATCCTCTCATGAATAATGTATGAGCCTCATGCATATGCAAGTAGTGGCTGCGGGGCACTGGGGGAGGGATGGTCCGAGATGGTATGTGTATCTTGTTCACATCCATTCCTGTCTCTGTGGGTTTGGCAGTGGCCGTTTTTGTGTCTCTGTGGCTGGGTGTGCTCCTGGGGTGTGGGTAAGGTTGCACCCCAGGATCTGGGGACCTGTGTGCAGCAATGACAGAGGATGGAGTGAGGGGGCAGCTCCTTGCAATGGTGGGGCACAGGAGAGCACTATGCTCTCTCTCAGCATGTGTAGGTCTAAACGTCTCTCGGCAGAGGCTGGGTGCACACGTGTGTGTTCTGGCCAGTGAATGAGTCTGTGTGCACTGTGTACCTGGGTGTGAAGGTGGAATAACTTGGAGGAGAAAGAAAGCTAGGTCAGCAAATCCTACCAGAGTGCCCCTTGGGGGGCCTCCCCACTAACCCCCTAACTCTGCACACAGGCCACATCCCATACCCCTACATCCAAGGGCCACAGTGCCAGCCCATGAAAAGGAGCCTCACTGTATACACAGGGACATATGCAGCCACATAGCAGATACAGACCCAGGAGACACACACACACACACACACAGATTCACACGAACATTAACAAAGAGACAATACAGGGACTCACAGGCATATCTTCTGCACAAAGACACATACCCACAGGCTCACGCCCCCTTAGAAAATCCCTGATGAGCCTTGCACAATCCAACACAGCTCCTTACACATGCGTGCACATGCACATCCACACACATGGGGGTGCCAGCCCCTGGCAAAGCCCGGCTGAAGAAATGTGGCCTTGGCAACCAGCAAACACACATCATTTAGCCACCTGACTACATGGGCCCAGCACAAGTTTCCTGACAAAGACACAACCGCAGTCCCATCAACTAATGGAGGACCCCAGACCCCCAGGGCATTTGCCACCTTACCAGGCAGACACACACACACAAAGCCTCCACCCCCTGGGGGGTGTGTGTTTCATTTGGGGATGACCACAAGCCAGGGAGGGTGCTGGGACTCCAGGGTCCCACGACCCACAGACCTCCCCCAGCGTCCCATCCACCCCGCCCCCTGTGCTCCCCTGCTGGGGCTGGTGCCAACCCTCTTCTGGCCTTAGTCTCCCATTGATACTGCTGAGAGGAACAAAGCCCCGTGCTCAGGGCTGGGGGTCGCTCCTGCCCAGGCTGGCCCTGCAGTCCCAGTCCCCATTTACCAGAGCCTGTGTCCCCAAACCAGCCAAGGCAGGGTTTCTGTACCTGTCTACATGGACAGATGAAATGAACAGGAGAGGCAAGGGGCTGTGTCGTGCTGCAAGCACACTGGCACATGAGGAGGTGCTGGGGTGGCCCTCCTCTTGGGGTTGGGCGCCCCTCATGGCTTCTGAGCATCCAGAGCTGGGCCCTCAACTGATATGCACCTGGGAAGACCTACTGTATTCCCTAGAGCAAGGGACACCACCCCAACTTCAGGTCTGAGGGAACAACAGGGACCCCCTGGGAATGGGGTCCCCTAGAGCCTCCTCCCTGAGTCAGGATGTGGTGACAGGCTAGCCCAAAAGGACAGGGAGGCCGAGCAGTGCCCCTTCCCACAGATGGGGTCTCATTCTTTCTCAGCTTAGATCCCTGCCATTCCTCTCGGTATGATCTTGGGAGCCCCCTCCCTACTGCAGTCCTGCCTGGGATCCTCCATTCAGATTGGGAATCCCTACTTAAAATCTTGGGGTGACTCAGTTCAACCACGGGGTGCCACCATTCCAGAGTCCCCCACCCAACATCTAGTTGAGCCCAGCTCCTCTCCAAACTCGAGGTGCTCCTCCCCCCACTGCCTCCTCCCCGAACCAGAGACCCAACCCCAGCCTGTCCCCCTCCCCACCCCTGGGTTCATCTCTGCATTCCCCAAACAACGCCCCCCCAAAATCCGTGTCCCCTCCCCACCATATTCCCAAACCTGCTCCCAGTTGGCGCTCCCTCCCCAGCCGGGGTTCCCCTCCCCCACTAGCCCCCTCCCCATCTCCGGAGCTGCTCCTCGATCCCAGGCCCCCTCCCCAATCCCGACTACAGTCTCCAATCTCGAGGTCCCCTCCCCGAGCCGGACTCCCCACCTGGCTCCTAGCTCGGACGCATCCCCGGGGCTGCCGTCCCGCACAAAGGACGCTCCGGCTTGCCCAGCTCAGCGATGGGTCCAGCTCCGCGCCCTGCGCTCCGCTCTCCCCAGCGCCGCCTCAGCTGCTTTATAAAGGGGCTGCGCTGCGCATGCGCCCCCAGCCAGCCGCCAGCGGCGCAAGGAAAGGGGTTCCCCTGCCTAAAATCCACCCCCTCCCCTTCGACCACTCACCCCACGCAGGGGGAAGTCCCGCCTGTTTTCCTCCATCCATTTTGCGCCAAGAACTAGGTTCAATGTCCCCAGCAGGCTCCCTGGTGAGCCAGCTCCATTTTACAGGTTGGGAAACTGAGCCCCGGAGAGGGGGAGTGGCTTCCCAAGGTCACGCGGAGGAAAAGGGCAGAGCTGGGATTAGAACCTTGGAGCTCCAGGCCTCACTCTAGAGAGTTTTGGCTATAAATTACTTTTCTACTCTATTTATAGTCCAGGAGGAGTCCCTAGTCTGCTAACTGAAAAGTTTGGAGAATCAAGTCTACTCACAGGCGCCTCAGAAACAAGACTTGGCGATTACTTCCGGAAAACCAGCCGTTGAAAACCTTGTGGATCACAGTATGACACTGGTTTACTGGTATAAAACAAAACAAAACAAAAAAACTCAGTGCCATCCAGTCGTTTCTGACTCATAGTGACCCCCATTGGGTTTCCCAGGCTATAAATCTTTATGGAAGTAGATCACCCAGTCTTCCTTCCATTCCTTCCACGGAGTAGCTGGGGAGTAGCTGGGGGTTTTGAACTGCTGACCTTCCAGTTAGCAGTCAAGTGCCTTATCCACCCACCAGAGGTTCAGAGAGGGTAGAGACACTCCTAGTCTCAGCTGGTAAGAGACACATAGGGGTTGGGCCCTGATGTGTCTGCCACACCTCTGAGCTGTTTCCACCAGTTCTAGCCAGAACATATCATTCATTCATTCATTCTTTCATCAGGTTAGAATTGCTAAACACCTGCTGGATATCAGGACTGTTGCTGGCTCAGGAACTTTCTTATTTTGTGTAGGGGGCCTGTGTGTACCCTGAAGGGGGAGACCCCCCCATCTGGAAAAGTGGAGATCCACACAATGGAATATTACCAAAAAAACCAAACTCACTGTGGTCGAGTCGAATTCAACTTATAGCAAACTCTCTTTGGGTTTGCCTGGTGGTATCTCTACAGAAGTAGATTGCCCAGTCTTCCTTCCCAGGGAGTGGGTGGTAGGTTTGAACTGCCAGCCTTTTGGTTAGCAGTCAAATGCTTTAGGCACTATGCCACCACAGCATCAAACAAACAAACACACTGGCATCTAGTCTGATCTGACTCATAGGGACCCCTCCTTGGGTTTCCTGAGGCAGTAGATTGCTCAGCCTTGTGTTGTTGTTATGTGCCATTGAGTCAGACCCAACTCATAGCGACCACTCCTTAGGTTTCCGAGGCGGAAGTAGATTGCCCCATCTTCCTTCTGAGGAGTGGCTGGTGGGTTTGAACCGCTAGCCTTCTGGTTAGCAGTCAAATGCCTTAGGCACTACGTTATCAGAGCTCCTGCCCAACCTTGTGTTGTTGTTGTTGTTGTTTGCCATTGAGTCGGCCCCGACTCATAGCGACCCCTCCTTGGGTTTCCAAGGCAGTATCACTACGGAAGTAGGAATGCCCAACCTTCCTTCCGAGGAGTGGCTGGTGGGTTTGAACCGCCAGCCTTCTGGTTAGCAGTCAAGTGCCTTAGCCACTATGATACCAGAGCTCCTTGCCCAACCTTAGTCAGCACTAAAAAGGAATGAAGCTTATCAGGGGCAGGAAGGAGGGGAGATGGAGGGAATTACTGTTTAGCAAGCAATGTGTGCTTTCACTTATGGGGATGGAAAATTTGGCAAAGGACATTGGGAATGGTAGCATGACATAATTGATGTAATTGATCTCACTGAATTGCATGTGTGAAAAGTTTTGAATTGGCAAATGTGGTGTTACCTGTATTTTTACAAAAAAGGGGATGGAAGCACTGGCGGATGCTACAATGTGGATGAACCTCGAAGAAAACATGATGTTCTGTGAGAGAAGCCAGACACAAAGACCACATGCTGAAGGTGGGGACCAGGTTTGCTGGTCCAATAGAGCCGGGTGGAACCCTGAAACTATGGCCCCTAGATACCCTTCAGGTCTGGAATTGAACCCACACCTGTGGTTACCAGCCAAACAAAGTACAGGCATCTGAGTTAAACATTTACCTCAAGTAGACACATGCCCTGGAAAGAACAATCATGGGAGAAGTAAGGGCTGCTTATGCACAGGGAGACAGCTCAGGGGGCAGGAGAGTATGGAGGGATGGACACTGGGAAGAGGTAACTACAGGGAGGAAGTGGGAGGGGAGCTGTTGCATTGTGGTAAATTGTGGTCAATGACATGAGACAAAGTATATGTGAACTGCTGTATGAAAAGTGAATTTGCTCTGTAAATCTTCACCCAAATCAAAATAAAATAAGAAATAAAAATCCATATGTTTAAAAAAAAAAAAAAGACCACATGCTACACGATTCCATTGATATGAAACATCTGTTGTTGTTGTTGTTTGCCGTGGAGTCGAGTCGGCCCCGACTCATATGAAACATCTAGAACAGGCAAATCCAGAGGCCTGGGGGAGGGGCAACGGAGAGTGACTGTTAATGAGCACAGAGTTCCTTTTGGGGTGATGAGAATGTTCTAGAACTAAATAGAGGTGATGGTTGTAAAACATTGTGAATGTACTAAATGCCACTGAAACATGCAGTTTACAGTGGTTAAAATAGTGAATTTAAATGTTATGTGAACATTATCAGGATATAAAAAAAAACATAGAAACAAGAATAAAAGCCTAGAGGGTTCAGGCCATGGGAACCCCCTCCACCTTTTGCCCTGGCCTCAGTTTCTGCCCAGAGAGTGAGCCACCCTGGCTGGAGGCTCCATGAGCTCCTGCCAGTGTGCATCCTGTGTCTGTGGGTCCCAGTAGGCCTGCGGGACAAATGAGGACAGGGAGTTTCCACAAGATGAGTGAGGCTGGGAGGGGATGGAAGAAGGATGAGGGGCCATGGCTATTGGGAGCATTGCCTTCTTATGTGAGGATGAACCCTCTGGGTCCCTTGGCCAATGGACCACACCTGGAGCTGCACCCACAAAGGAGAGTCTCAGGGCTGTGGCATTGCTGAGGTCAGGGTCACAGCTGGTGTCAGTGTCTGAGGGTGACTGCTGAACTGAGGTCACGCCAGGCCACCAATACCCACCTGCAGTTGGCCAACTGACTCAGCGGCAGGTGGGAAGGGTGAGGTGAAAAGCTGAATGTGGTTGTGTGGTTTTGTGAGGTGGTGTGACTGTGTGTGGTCATGTGACTGAATGTGGTCTGTGATGTATGTGGTTATGTGATGTTGATGTGTATGGTTGTGTGCCTGTGAGTTTGTGTGCTTGTGTGAAGTTGTGTGATGTGTATGGTGTGTGTGAGGTGTGAGTGTGAGTTGTATAAGTGTATGAGGTTGTATGATGTGTGTAGCTGTGTGTGAGTTGTGTGGTATGTGAGGTTGTATGATGTGTGTAGCTGTGTGTGAGTTGTGTGGTATGTGAGGTTGTATGATGTGTGTAGCTGTGTGTGAGTTGTGTGGTATGTGAGGTTGTATGATGTGTGTGTGTGATGTGTGTGGTTGTGTGATTATGTGCTTGTGTGACAAGAGTGATTGTGTGACTGTGATGTGGGTGTGTGTGGGGGGTGTATGTGTGTGGTTGGGTGAGTGTGTGATCACATTATGTATATAGTTGTGTGGCTGTGTGTGTGATGTGTGGGGTTGTGTGACTGTGAGGTTGTGTGAGTGTGTGTGGTTGTGTGGCTGTGCATGGGAACCAAACATCTTGGCCTCTACAAGCCCAGGGTCCAAACCCTTCTGCCTCTCAGCAGTGTGCCTCTGGATGAACCATTTGATCTCTCTGTACCTCAGTTTCCCTTTAAAGTGTGGATAATTAACAGTCCCCATCTCAGAGGGGCTGCTGGGAGAATGAGAAGTCCCCAACTGGGGAGATTGAGACTCTGGGGGAGGATCATTCGTGAGGTTGCTCAACACACCTAGGGATGATGGGAGCCCAGGTCTGTGGCCACAGAATGGAGCTGCCCCCCTTCCGCCCAGGCTGGCGCCAGGGCTGAGCTCAGCCAGGGCTGAGCTCTGAGGGGCTGGCCTGGGGCCCAGGGCAGGCTGTTGCCGGGGGCTTGAATAGAGGAGACCAGCCTGGGAATCTGCTGGGTTCAAAGAGCTATTTATAGGCCTGTGCTGGGATTTACCCAGCCCCCTTCAAGCTCTTGATCCCTTCTGTGTTCCCCCCAACTGGGGCCCTAGCCAGGGGCGCTTTGGGGGAAGGAGATGGGGGAAGGAGCTGGTGGCTAGACCTCTAGGATAAGTGGGTCTCAGGGTGGACAATGTGGCCCTGAGTGTGTGACACACCCAAGGTGACAGGTGGCTGCGTGGACACATCACACTCAGCCATGTCCACATCTGTCACATGCAATGTTATCTACAACCACTGACCTCCACTCACACTCTCAGCCATACAGCAACAACATGTAGGCTTCACGTACACCTACATCCAAACATATAAGAATCATATTGCACACAAGCAAACCTGCAGCTGTGACCTCAAGTCACACCTCCTGGCCCCTCCACACTTACAACCACCGTAATCCATACCAGTCATGTCACGGCCACTGTGCTGTTCACATATACCACATTTCCAGCATGGGCATACCTGCAGATAATTGGCAAATGACCCTGTTCAATGGAAATCTAATGTCATCAGCGAATGTAGTGCAGCCACTCCCAATCACGCAGTCACACCATTCCATACCCAGCCACACTTGCGACCACAGTCACACCTCATACCCCCATATCACCTCCACATTCACAGAGACACCAGGCTCACCACCAACACTCTCAGATTGTCTACTCTGAGCTAGAAGGATTCTAGGGGACCCGTGTCACACATCCTGCCACTACTGCCTGGTGCAGACTGTAGATTGAGACCTTGAGGCAACTACCATCCCCATCCTCAGAGGAGGGCAGGGGAAACTGAGGCTCAAAGTTCTCAGAAGGCTTTTGCCTGCCTGCTCCTGGAAAATTGGTTCCAGAACCACAAAATCCCGGTAGCAGCTATTGGAGAGTCTTCACTGCCCCCAACTTGCTGTCTGACCTTCAGTAAGTGGCTGATCCTCTCTGAGCCTCCATTTCCTTCCCAGAAAAGTGCAGAGCTCAGCTCAGTGGAGGGAACTCTTCAATCACACTGGAGTTTGAATCCCAGTCCTCCCCCAGGTGACCTTGGCCAAGTGACTTTGTTTCTCTGTGTCTCAGTTTCCCCTTGTGAACCAGAGGATCCCCTACTGGCCTTTCTAGAGCTACCCATGCCCCATCCCTTGGGAGAGGGAGGGTGTCTTGGCTTCTCCTCCATCCAGGCAAATGAATGGGCCACTTCTGGCTGCCCTGCTGGGCGTCCGGAGCCACTAATTCCCTGGAGAAACAGGAGGCTCTTTCATGCCCAGGAGCCAGGGGGGCGAAGAGGCAGGAAGAGGGTCCAGAGCTGGCCTCCTCCCAGTGGCAAGGCGGGCCCATGCCAAGGCTGGTGTTGTGGGAAGGGTTGTGGGGCTGTGCACACCCACACTGGGGACCTTGGCCTAGTCCCTGCATCCTCGCTATAAACTGGGGGTTGGCAACAGGAACAGCCACTGCAGGGCCACGACCCAATGAGTGGAAACAAAACAGCTCAGAGTCTCACATACAGCAGGCTCTCAACAAATATCACCACTGTTATTATGTGTCACCCTGAGGAGCCTGCACACAGCATCCTCCAACAGTCCTGTAAAGAGAGAACTGCCACCGTTTTGCAGATAAGGAAACTGAGGCCCAGAGAGGTCAAGATACTTGTCTAAGGTCACGAAGCCAGCAAGCAGCCAAGCCAGGATTTGAACTAGATCTAGTACCTCCAGGATCCCTGTTCTTCTAACTGCCTCTCTTGGGGGGTGGGGACTTTTTTTGTTCCCCCCACCTCTACCCCAGCCCCAGCCCTAAGACCAGCAGCATAGCCAGATCTGGATGGCACCAGACCATGTTTGAATGCAGGAAGTCCTGGCAGGCAGGGCTGGATAGGGCAGGCCCTTCCGCTGGTGACCCAGTTTCCCAGGCAGCCCCCTCTCCTGGGGTTGGTTTGGGCAGACAATAGGAAGCCAGAGGACTGCTCCCACAGCCCTTGAAGGAAGGGGCTGGATTGGTCATTCAGCTAAAGCCAGGAACTACAGCCTCCTGCCAGCAGCTGCTCTGTCTCAGAGCCCTCCATTCAAGCAGATGGGAAGGTGCCCCGCCCTTCAAGTCAAGCACCTTCCATGGCTCCTTCTCGCTCAGCAGGGTCTTGCTCCACATAATTAATTCTAATTCATGTTCTTTCACCCAAGCCAGCCTTTGCTTGTACTGTTCTCCTTGCCTGGAAAACTCTTCTTGATTTTCTTATCCTGGCCAACTCCTGCCAATCCATGAAGGTGCAGTTCCAGTGCCCCTCCTCTAGGAAGTCCTCCTTCTAAGTAGAACCCATGCTTCTCCAGCCTCCTCTCTCCCTCTGGCCCAGCCCTAACCCCATGAGGCTAGTGGTGTCTGTGCCTAGCTCTGTCTTCCTCAGATTGTGGGCTCATCAGGCACTGAGCTGGAGCTGAGCCTTCTCTCTGTCTCCATCATCATTCATCCCAGAGAGGGACATAAGGAGATGATACCAGGGAGTGGCACAAGGAGGTAACAGGAGGGGGTGGCAGGAGGTGTTTAGTGAATCAGCGAACCAAATCTTTAGCCTAGTGTCCCAGGGCTTGTGTGATTTGATTTAGGGGGACAGACTTACAGCTACGCTTTTGCTTGCTGTTAGCTTACTTCCATTTGCTAAGTCACAGTTATATAACACCTGCTAGGGTGGCCTTGGAGGTCCTGGGCCATGGCACCGTTCCACCTTTGTTTGCAAAAGCTAGAAAAGCCCCTGCCTCCCACTGGGGGTGGGGGTAGGGCACAGAGACTGGAGTCTGCCTTGCTGCTGCCCAGGGCTTTACCTTGTAAATGCACCTTAATAAACTCCCATATTACCATCACGGAGCTGCCAGCCTCTTTCTTCAGCCTCTCAGCACCTTAGGGCAAATTTAAAGTTACTAGTCTATGCCCAGACATAGCAGCACCTTGGTGAACTCCTGTTCATTTTTCAAAACCTACTTTTCATGTCTCCTTCTCCAAGAAGCCTTTCTTGATGTCTCAGGCAACATTAGTGAGGAAGACAGATTTGGAAGCTGGATCTCCTCTGTCCCAGCAGGACAAGAGGGGTTAATGAAAACTACTTGTACTCTTAGCATCTTGGCCTCTTCCTCAGCTCTTCCTTTGGCCTCTGAGAGGCAGCAGGTGTAGCAGGTTACAGGCTACATTAGCGGTTTGGGAATGGATTAGGTGGACTTCCCTACTTAGAAAGAACTCATTATAGGAAGTCTTCCCAGTGCCAAAACCAGTGCTCTGTACTAGGCAGCAAGAAACACAGCCTTGCATTTAGGGGGCGCTCAATCGCTTTCGGTGTCAGTCTTCTTTTTCCAACCACTGGATGCGGCCCCTTTAAGAGGCGGACATGCAGGTCGCGGGGGTGGGGGTGGGATGGGCATGTCAGGGCCCGCCTCTAGGAGATACAGTTGGGAGGGACCGTGCGGTTTACTGCGGAGGTGCTGCTTCCACGCGGTTCCGGTTCCCGGCTTTTGGAACCCAGCGCTTACGCGTAGGGAAACTAAGGCTCTAGGAGACGGGTGGCCACCTCCGGACACCCGCGGGAAGCCGGTTTCCTGTTTTTACATCGTTGTGAAAGGCCTAGACCTTGATCACTGGCAGTTTCCCCGAGTCCTCCCAGTTTTTCCGGCAAAGGGGTGATAAAGGCGACTTTTAGGACCGGAGGAGGGCCAGAGTAGCGCTCTGGTCCTGGGCCAGAGCGAGATTTTTATTCTGCGCAGCCTTGTGAAGCCAAGATGACCCACTCTTTAGTTTGTCCAGAGACCGTGAGCAGGTGAGAGCCTGCGGCGGGGCCCTTGGGCTGGGGTCTAGAATCCGTGTGGGCGGAGCTGGGGGGATGGGCGGGATCTGAGGGTGAGGCTCCTTCCTGGCCTTGCCTCTGGTCCCTCCAGGGTGAGCTCTGTGCTGAATCGCAACACCCGGCAGTTTGGGAAGAAGCATCTGTTCGACCAGGACGAGGAGACCTGCTGGAACTCGGACCAGGTGAGGCGGCTCCCCAGACCCCTAATCCCAGTGTGAATCAGGTCCAGAGCCAAGGTGCCCGAACTTCCGGTGCCCGTTCTGGGCACCGTAGCGTTGGACCGTGTGCTGGACGCTTTCCTCATGGCCTGCGTGGGTGAGACAGGAATTCCAGGTTCTCAGCCTGGAATGCCAACCAGAGTGCTTCCCTGTTTTCAGGGCCCCTGCCAGTGGGTGATGCTCGAGTTCCCCCAGTGTGTCCGAATCTCCCAGCTACAGATCCAGTTCCAGGGGGGCTTCTCAAGTCGCCGTGGCTGCCTAGAAGGTACTGGTGGGGCCCTGGGACATGGGAGGTCTGGAGGGGGCCCCTCCCAGGCCTCAGTATCTGCTTCTTTCTCTGCTGCAGGCTCAAAGGGGAGCCAGGCACTTTGCAGGATTGTGGATTTCTACCCTGAGGACAACAACTCACTTCAGATATCCTGTGAAGTGGTGGGTTGTGGGGTTGTCAGGGTTGTTGGTTGAATGTGGGGTGGTCCAGGTCTTTGAGGACCTGGGACTCACCTGGACTTGGGCATGAATGTGGCATGAGGCTTAGGTTTTCACAGCATCTGTGAAATGGGGCCAGTGATAGCCTGCTCTCTCTGAGGCTCAGAGAGGCCCAGGTTATCCAGATGGTGGTGGTGTCTATGCCAGGGCTTGACCCTGGGTTTTGGCAGGGGCACAGGGTTGGGATGGCAAATAAGCTGCATATTTCCCTTGACTGCCCTGTGCTCACACCTTCCCTGTGCCAGCCTTTGAGGTGGACCGGCTGAAGGTGACCTTCGAGGACATGAATGACTTTTTTGGCCGAGTGGTTATCTACCACATGCGGGTCTTGGGGGAGAAGGTATGAAAGTGCATCCTCCAGGAAGCCCTCAGGGAAGCACAGCCAAGTCTTTGGAGTTCTGCACAAAAAGTTTATTGGTTCTTCTCAGGACAGCCCACTTCCCGCCACTGTCCTGAGCAAGCATCCCATAATTGGGAAGCAGGAGCTGCCTCTGAAACCAGTTCTGGGTTGCCCCAGCTCTGGGTCGACTGTTTTGTTCCCTGAGTGTCTTGAGTCCCTGGCGGCAACCTTCACTCAGGGTTAGTGGGCACGAGGTTGCTCTGGAAGAGCTTGAGGATGTGGTTCTCGATCACCTGTTGCACTGGTGACAGGGAGAGAGTGGACAAGGTGGACTATGAGCTTGAATGAGAGCTGCCCAGGCACAGGTCCCACTCGCCTGCACCTGAGAAAGTGGACCGGGGTCTCCCTGCCCTAAGACCCTGGAAGATCTGGTGAATCTACTCCCCTTCAAGTGCACAGCTGAGAACCCTGAGAATCTTCTCCAAAGCTTGTAAGAATGCATTTATTCTTGGAAATTTTCTGAGCTATAAAAGTAAGCCAAATTAGTGGGTTGGGGCTTTTATGAAAAGATGATGGGGGCTGTGAAGAATAGCTTCTGTCTGAAATGGACTAAAACTCCCCAAAAGGATCTCTCTCTCTCTCCATGACCTGGGGGGGGGGGAGGTGAGGCTGGTTCTGTTAGAATTGCCCCATTTTACAGATAGGGAAGTGGGGATTCTGAGGTCTGCTGATGTACCCTGCTAACACCCACCTCCTGTGATGGGTCCCATCACCCTGGAAGGGGCCTGGACCCACCTGTGTGATGTAGCTGGCCCACTGCCCTTTGTGTCTGAGCCTTTGCCTGGGTTCTTCTTCCTGCTGGAACCATTGTCCTCCCTCCCCTTGGGTTACTCCTCTGGCCTGGGAAAGCTCCTTCCACCTGGACTGGGTTAGGCCTCTCAGTGTCTGCGTGTCCCTCATCATAGCTTCAGCCATTGAGGCATGTCAACCTCCTTCCCCCAGCACACTGGGGCCTGTGGGAGCCAGTACACAGCCAGGTACCCAATGTTTGCTAGCATGAACGCTCACTGCTAACACAGCCAACATCTAACACCTGCATGGGGTGTCCTGTGCATCTCTCCTTATGGTCACCCACCTACAGCATTCCATCACTGCTTTGCATATCTTAGACCAACCTTTGCGGTACCCCAGGGCCACAGCGAGGTCCATTGGAGTGTAGCCAGAGTCAGCCTCTGTGGTGAGGTCGGCTCCTCGGGCTAGAAGCAGATGGAGGGGGTTGGAGGAGTGCTGAGGGAACCAGAGGGTGCTGGACAGGGGAAGGAGCGGGGGCTAAGTAAGCGTTGGACAGGAGAGGAGGTTGGGACACTGAGGGGGTGAGGCGGTGGGTAGGAATGCTGGAGGGGGGTTGGAGGGGTGGAGGTGATATTGGATGGAAGGGCCATGTTAGGGGGCTGGGGAAAGACTAGAAAGTGGACACCAGATTGGAGGGGATGCTGGAGGAAGACGGGGGGGGGGGCTAGAGGGGATGCTAGATGGAAGAGCTAGATAAAGGAGCACTGGATAGTGGACAGAGTGTGGAGACCTGGAAGGGAGACTAGGCTGAGGGTGGGAGCTTAGAATGGGGGCTACCATTAGCCTGAACAATAGGCCTCTCTAAGCCCCAATCTTCTCCAGTGAATGTGGCCAACAAGATCCCCACCTCCAAGGTCCCTGAGACTCCAAAGTCCAGCGCTCAGCTGCACTGGCCAACCCCCCCCCCTCTACTTCCCAGGGTAACCCAGCTGGGGCTCTGGGCATCACTCACCCAGCAAGGCCTCTACGCACTTCACGTGGTTTCCGCGCACAGCATACAGGAGGGGGGTTCCTCCATTCTATGGGAGAGCAGAGGAGACTCACCTTTCCTGATTCCCAGGACTCCCATACTCTCTGCCCTCTTCTCCCCCTGCCTATCACTGGCCTTTGGTCTCCTCCCATAGGGCTCCAATCAGACATCTCTACCTCCAGGAATCCCTCTCTGAACTCCCTCACCAGATGGGCACCTCTGGGCTCCTGCAGCTGTCTGTGCACCACCTATCACAGTGCTGTCCTTCCTCTTTTTCTGAGCTGCTTGTTAACCATCTGCCTCTCCCGAGAACGGGAGCTTGGGGCCAGGTCTGTCTTGCTCATGGCTGTTTCTAGTACCCAAAACAGGCCTCACCCCAGGAAGTACTCAATATGTGTTTGGAAGCAGGAACATAGGCCAGAAGGCTGCAGTGAGGTGGACGTCCAGGGTGGCAGGGTGGGCACCTGGGATAGTGGGGTGGGAGGCTGGGGTGGTGGAGTAAATGCTGGGCAGTGGGATGCCCAGCACGGGAGATAGATACCCAGGGTGGTGGGGTCAGTGCTTAGGCCAGTGAGGTGGGAGCCTGGGGCAACAAGGCAGGCAGGCAGGCAGTGGGGTGCCTGAAGCGGGAGACCCGGGCAGTGGGGTGGGCAGGTGGCAGGGCAGCTCCTCACCCAGTCATAGATATTGATGTCCACATCCCGCTCCAGCAGCAGCCCCACGATGTCCGTGTAACCACCCATGCTGGCCAGTGACAGGGCGCTTTCCCTCTCCTTGGCCAGGATGTGCGGGTCGGCCCCCTGGGAGCAGAGAGTGAGTGATGAACTGAGAAGAGAAGAGTGGTCAGGGGAGGGGAAGGGGCAGAGGGGCAGTGAAGGGAGGGATGAGGAGGTAAGGCAATGAGGAAGAAGCAGAGAGGGGATGGGGGCAGAGAGGCAGTAAGAGGAGTGGTGAGGGAAGGGGTGGGGCCAACCCAGTAGTCCTAGGGTCCCCCCGTGGCCCCATTTTACAGACTAGGCCCCAGCAGATGCAGCCAAGACCCCCAATCACCTGCCTGTGAGTCCCTGGGAATCCCCTAGTTGGACCCAGACGTACCCACTCGAGCAGGAAGCGGACGGTCTCAATCTCGCCGAAGGCTGAGGCCCAGATGAGGGGGGTGAACCCACGCTCATCGGGCTTATTGACTAAGTTGTCTCCTGAGGGAGGGGGCAGGGCAGGGGCTGGGGTTAGATCCAGAGACCGCTGGGGGAGGCACACAGATAGAAATGCCATTTCATGCTCAAGGACAGGCTAGCACACGTAAACAGGCACACATGGACACATGGGTCACCCCTGCACCCATGAATGGACACACATGGCACACCTGCGAACACAAGCACATGCTTTCAGACAGGCTTCAACAGGCACAGACATGCCAGCACATGCGTGTGGGCGCACACCTTTCCGCAGGTGCTCCTTCAGCTGGCTGAGCTCCCCTTGGGCTGCGAGCTGGTGGATGGACAGGGCTGGGGGCCAGAGAGAGGGAGAGAACCCCTCAGAAGGGACACGAGGAGTCCTCCCTCACCTGTCCCAGGCCTCTCTGGGCCTTAGTTTACCCCTGTCCAAAGGGGATCTTCTTGACCCCTTCCCCCACTTGACCCCCAAGGACCCTGGGCCCAACTCACAGTCTAGGGTGGCTGGCAGGGCTGAGACCTCATTCCCACGTTGCCTGTTGGTGAGGGTTGTGGAGTGCTTCAGGGAACTACCTGCTGGGAGAGACAGGAGGGGCTTCTGTGTCCCTTCATTGTGTGTCTCTGGTCCTGTGATGAAGACCCTGGCAGTTGGGAGCTACTGAAGACAATGCCTGAGATCCCACTCTTCACCTACCCCAGCTTCCAGGCATTATCTTCTCTGGGCCAAGTGATGTGCCAGGCAAAAAAGACAGAGAGGCCCTGGCCCCAGCGAGCCCATGGGCAAGGGTGTAAGTCAGGCAGAGAAACAGAACAAAACTTAAAGTAAAATAGTGTTCAGAAGAAATAAGAAGCAGGTACAAGGTGACAGGCTGAGAGAGAGAGAAGGAATGTTTTACATGTGGTCAGGAAGGGCCTTTCTGAAGAGGTGAGACCAACTGGGATTGAGTGAGGGGAAAAACCAGTGACGGGAAGAGGTGGGGGAAGAGCATACAAGGCACAGGGAACAGCAAGTGCAAAGGCCCTGGGGTGGGCTGAATCAAACATGTTCAAGGACTCTACTCGATAAATCCTTGGTCCCTCAAAAAGCTTAAACATAGATTTACCATATGGCTCAGCAATTCTACTCCTTGTTATCACCCCAAAAGAACTGAAGTCAAGTATTCAAATCTTTGTACACAAATATTCATGGCAATATTGTAGTAATCAAAAGATGGAAACAACTCAAAAGTATGTTGACAGATAGATAAATAAGCAAGATATGGTCCAAATAACAGAGTATTTGTCATTCAGCCATAAAACATATAGTTCTGATACATGCAACGCCATGGACAAATGTTGAAAAGTTGTGCTTAGTGAGAGAAGCCAGATGGAAAAAGTCATATAGTATGCTTCCATTTACATGAAACATCCATAACAGGCAAATCCAGAAACAGAAAGTGAATTAGTGGTTGCCAGCGGCTGAGGAAGGGAAAACGGGGAGTGAGTGGTAATGTATATAGGGTTTCCTTTTGGGGTGATGGGAATATTCTGGAATTGGATAGAGGTGTGGCTGCATAGCATTGTGAATGTACTAAATGCCATTGAATCATTCACTTTAAAATGTTAAGTTTCACATAATGTGTAGCTTCTCACAATTTTAAAGAGAAATTGTAATTAAGGCAAGAAGCTTTCTATGGGTTGGAGAAAGATGTTATGTCCCAAGTTAACAGGACCGCAAAGACAGGTCCTTTTCTGTTGCCATGCCTGACTTGCCACCATCAGCATCTGTCCCAGAGGGCTGGGTACAGAGGGGGAGTCCTACCTTGTGGTGATGGGACTCCGGTGTCCACTTCAGGGTTCCCAGGTTCCGGAGTGCAGGGGAAGAGGCTGAGGACAACGGTGTCTGAACTGTCGGAGGTCTCATCCCTGGAATCCTCTGGGTCCCCGGGCTCTGGGGCAGGAGGCTGCTGGGCCACGCTAAGGTTGTCTGCAGGCTGGATGGGCTCCATGCAGGAAGCTGGTGGACTTGTCAGAGGGGAAAGAGAACAGTAATTATCATTAACAAATCTTTTCAAGTAGGCATGGATTGCATACCCAACCTTACACCAAAAGTAGGTAAACTGAGGTTCAGGTTAATTGCCAGAATGTAGTAGAGTTGGGAATTAAAATTAGAACCCAATTGCTTTTCAGTTCTCTCCCTTCCTAGTACCCCCAATATGCAGTGGTTAAAAGCCCCCAGCTCTGGGGTCAGACTGTGTGGGTTGGATTTCCTAGGCTGCCAGTTATAGAACTTGAGCACAAAACTTAATCCCTCTATGCCTCAGTTTCCTCTTACTAAAATGGGCAAATGAGGCCTAAAAGAAATCAGAGGGCTAGATTCACGGGTAGAGCTTAATAAGTGCTCTCTGCGGTTATTTTGGGTGGTCTCCAAAATCACTTGAGGGTTCAACAAAGATATTATTGGCCTCAGCCCTACACATCCCTCCACACCCGATTCAGGTCAACTCACCTTCCCACGAGCCTCCTCTGTCCCCCCGCGCCTCAAGCAGGGCTCCCCAAAACTTGAGGGCTCGATTCACAAACTTTTCTCCTTCACTTGATGTAGGGGGAATAGTCTGGAGCTTGGACCCTCAGCACCCTGGCTTCTTCTGTCGGGACAGAACAACTTGATACGCAACCGCTACCCCCACCCTAGCACTCCCCCACTGCGCCTGCGCACCTCCGCCCCCCAAAAGTGCGGAAAATCCTGCTCTTTAGCAGCTGGTTCTGGCCCTTTAAAACTCGGGGAAGGGGCGTGGCTTCCGCTGGAACCCGACGAAAGCCGCTGCGCCTGCGCATTCTTGCTCCGCTGGATCGGCAAAGGGTGGGCGGGGCTTCAGAGGACGCTGAGAATTTCTTGAGCCTGCGCTCTCGGGCCAAGTTCCACCCAGAGGTCTATATGCAGCCAAATGAATACACTTTTGGAGGAATGGGCGGAGCTTTCCCAAATTGAGGCGGGGGAGAAGGTGGGGCGTCCTGAACGTAAAGAGGCAATGTACACATTACGGTTCTCTCCCATAACAAAGTCCTGTCTGCAGGCCCTGGGGGCTGAAGAAACTTGTGTAGGAGCTTGTTAGCGGCAGGGGGCACAAAAAGGGTATTTTTACGGCCTGAGGTGGATAAGATATGACGTGTCCCCTCAACTCGTCTGCCGCAGAAAAGAGTTTAGGAAAGGAGGCGACCCTAGTCCCTCCCCGCCTGGGCGTTCCTCCTGAAGCCTTGAGGGGTCTCCACCCCCTCCTCACCACTCGCTGTGTGCCTCTTCCTTTTGTCTCACTCACGTCTCTCCAGTCGGGGAGAGGGAGGGGTCAGGAAAGCAGGCCGACTGGTACCGGAACTGGAGCAGCACGGCGTCCAGTTTCCACTGGGGAAGGCTAGGGCAGACGGTCTTTTCTCCAGATTTCCGGTTCCGATCCCGTAGTGCTATTGGCCGCCGTCGTTATGGAGGAACCCGAGATGCAACTCAAGGGGAAGAAAGGTGGTGCGGGGCCCCTGGCGGGACAGAGGGGGCCGCGTGGGAGTAACTCGCGGAGGGGCGCCTGCGGGAGCATGGGCACGGGGAGAGGGCGAGGGGCCATGATTGAGCTGCCATCGAATCCCAGACCTTGGGAAATTTCCGTGTCATGTTTTTGTCATCTGTAAAATGTGAAGAATAATAGCTTGTCCCCCATAGGGCTCTTGTGAGAGTTCACTAACTTGATACTTGCAAAGCATTGGAGGCGCGCCTGGAGTGGCATCACTGTGTGTATCGCTTCCTTATCTCTATACATTTACGCACTTGTACATATTTAAGATTTACATACTAAGTATTTGCAAAAAATCTAGTAATAAGTTGTAAATTACTTTGCCCCAAACCCACTGCAGTCGAGTCCATTCTGACTTACAGCGACCGTATAGGACAGAATACAACTGCCCTTTGGGTTTCCAAGGCAAATCTTCACTGAAACCGGCTGCCTCATTTTTCTCGCGAGGAGCAGCTGGTGGATTCCAACCCCCGACCTTTTGGTTAGCAGCTCAATGCTGTAACCATTGTGCCACCAGAGCGCCTTAAGTTACTATATTAGTTCTACTGTCGCTGGAGCTCTGGTAGCATAGTGCCTAACGCACTTGACTGCTAACCAGAAGGCTGACGGTTCAAACCCATCAGCCACTCCTCGGAAGGAAGGTTGGGCAATCTACTTCTGTAGTGATACTGCCTCGGCAACCCAAGGAGAGGTCACTATGAGTCAGCCAACACGATGGCACATAACAACAACAACATCGTTGGCTTTATTTTGCTAAATACTTGTTTTTAGTTGATTATTTAGAAAACTCAGGTACATGTAATTTTTCCTTCTACAGAGCAGCCCTGTGAAGTGTAAGTAAGCTATTTAGATCCTCATTTTCAAGAGGAGGAAAAGGGGGTCTGAAAGGCTGGGCTGTGCCCTATGCAGGGCACAACAGTTAGCTGGACAACCCTACAGGCAGCCTTTGACTTAGACACACCTGAGTTGTCTCCTCACCAGTCACACTGCCCTGGGCATTAGCTTAGACTATGTCATGTAGTAGACTTTGAGACTTTTTATAGTATATTTTATAGACTGTTTTTATAGGTGAGGAATTTGAGACTGAGCCATCCCTACCCTCATGAACCCAAGTTTAATGTTGTTAACACATAGCCTGATTATGAATAAGAAAAATGAATAAGGTTCTGAGGTTGAAGATAGTAGGGAAGACGTCTGATTTAAGCTTGGTGATCAGAGAGGGCCTCTTGCAGGAGGTCACTTTTGAGCTGAGACCTAAGGGATGAAGAGGAGCCAGTGGAGGAGGGCCTGGAGGAAAGTGTCTCAGAGGAGGGATCAGCAGGTACAATGGCTCTGGGGTGGGGAATTGTTTGAAGTTGTGCTATTTAACACAGTCTCCATTGGCCACATAAGAATATTTAAGTTTAAATGAATTACAGTTAGGTAAAATTAAAATTGAGCTCCTCAGTCAACACTAGCCACATTTGAAGTGCTTGATAGCCACATGTGGCTAAACCCACTTTCATCAAGTTGATTCTGACTCATAGTTACCCCATAAGCTAGTGGCTACTATATTGTACGATGCAAATTATAGGACATTTCCATTATCTCAGAATGTTCTTTTGGGTGATACTAGGAGTGTTTGAGGGACAGCTAGAAGGCCATTGTGACTAGGGTGCAGAGAGAGTAGGGCAGGGAGGTCAGCAGTGATTGGACCATGCAGAGCCTTATGGGTGATGGTTAGAAAGGTGAGTTTTATTCTCTGGTGGGACCAGGGAGGGACATGTCTGATATGTTGTTAGAAGCTCACTTTGTCTGCTACATGGAAATCATGTTGGGGCAGGAGGGAAGCAGGGAGACCAGGAGGGGTAATACAGTGCCTGGGCCAGTTGGGGTGGTAGAGTGGCGCTCATGGGTAAGACCTGGGTTTTATTTTGTGGCACAAAAAGCATGGTCTGGTTACAGTTGAGGTAGCACTGAGGTGGGGATAGGGGGCTGGGGATGACTGGATGATGAAAATGCTGTTTGGTGAAGCAGACTCTGGGATGAGGATTCTGTGTGATTAATTTACCAGGAGAAACCCACAAGGGAGATTGGGAATGGGGCAGCGTCAGGGAGAAGGCTGAGCAAGGGCAGCCTTAGGTGCCATTTCAAAGGGGCGTTCAGGAGGGCGGATCACACCCCAGTGCAGGAACTGGGCTTTCCTACCCCAAGTGGTCAGCCATGGGTGAGGTCCATTTGGCTGTGAATGCCAAGGCACTTCAGGTCCAGTAGCCTGTGGGCATCTCACAGAGAAGAGTCTCAGGTACAGTCATAATGGGTCTGAGGGACCCCAGGCAGAACCAGTGTGTCCACTGCACGTGGGTTGGGGAAGGGAAGGACCATGAGTTCACTGGATATGTTAACATTGTGAGTGAGGCCATGATCCCAAAGAGCCCCCAGAGGGATCCTGCTGTGACCATCTCTTCCAGCCAACTTCCGGGGCTGTGGTGACCCAGCTGCTGGGATGTACCTCGCACTCCTCTTCCCTCTGGCTGGTGCATGGGTTGAGGAGTGTGACCCTGATGCTTTGACCCCTTGTTTTCCCGCTCCCTGCCTGGCTGTCCTCGGGACCTGGATGCAGTCACGGACAAGTTCACTGAGAGTGTGTATGTTCTGGCCAATGAGCCGTCTGTGGCACTGTACCGGCTGCAGGAGCACGTGCGCCGCTCCCTGCCTGAGCTGGCCCAGCACAAGGTGAGCCCCCGCCCACCGAGGACCTCCCTAATGTCGACCTCCCCATGCCTCCTAAGCTGGAGCAGGAGGGCAGCCCATAGTGTGGAGCAGGGTGGACGTCAAGTCAGACTCTGGTGAGGAGGCTGTGTTGGCCTAGCCAGGTTGAGCTGTGGAGACAGACCATGCGTGTTGAGAAGGAGGTGGGACAGGCAGAGGGAACAGCTGTACAAAGGCCCTGTGGCACCAAAGGCCTCGACAGGGAGGGAGGGGAGTTGCGGGAGAAAAGGTCTAGGCTGGAGGGCTCTGCGGCCACAGTGAGTGCCCTCTGGTAGCAGCCCCCCCCCATCACACCCTATCCCTACAGGCAGACATGCAGCGGTGGGAGGAGCAGAGCCAGGGGGCCATCTATACCGTGGAGTACGCCTGCAGGTGAGTGCTCAACCTCCCTGTGCTGCCACAGCCTCCTAATGGTGCCCAGAGGTTACCCTGTCCTTCAATGTCTCCCTGTTGTGACCCTAGGGTTGCCCCACAATCCCTGGCCTTGGGCATTCAGCAGGCCCAGGGATACCTACTGTGCCAAACCCACCTGAGCAGAGGCCTGTGGGTGGCGCCATGGCCAGACTTCTCTTCCCCCCTCATCTGCCCCTGCTCCTTCCTATGTCAAACCTCCCACCCCACCCCAGGGGTGACCTGGATTGACCCCTGGGTAAAAGGAGTTGGAGCTTCAAGGGGACCTAGCACCGTGGCAACAT